TGAGCAACTGCCTCACTTTTAACGACAGTGTTTTGTAGGATAGTAAAGCTGATTTATCTTTATATTCACCATGTAAACCAATTATCAGGATTAGTGTAAATGTCCAGGATATGGTGTATGTTTATAATATAAGAATACCTTTGTAGTTACTGAAGTGGATCAGTTAGTTTCAATGCTATGTATTGAATCGCTGGCTTAAGTTTGTCATTATGCAACTTTGTAGTTATTTCCATTGAGTACATATTGAATAGAGTACAGCCTAAGTATATACATAGACCTTCTGCTTTCGTCAATAGTAACTAAGCTCAAAACTGATTCACCAGTAACTAGGTGATCTACTTAACAAACAAACAGTTTTTGTTGACTTCAATTCATCTTCACAGTACAATTAAATGCCTCATTTGTCAGCCCATGAGGATCATGTTGAAAACATATTGAAAGTTGTTGTTGACATGATGAAGTGATCACACAATGTAATGGTTGATAATGCTACATGATAATAGATGTTCACTGCCAGTGGTGTTGAAACATGACCTGGCTTAGTGCTTACAGGATAATGCTAGAGGCTTGTAATATGTTCTACACCAGTCTGCTACTCACGTTACCACAGTCTGTAGCCTGGTAGCTTGTAATATGTTCTACACCAGTCTGCTACTCACCTTACCACAGCCTGTAGCCTGGTAGCTTCTGTAATATATACTGTATCTTAAATATATTGGAAAGTTATGTCATACAACCAACATTCTGACATCAAGTTGGAAAATACCCCATTAAGGTAAGTCAGTAAGAGGTTTCAAATTCCATAACCACCTCTGAAACAGCTGATTGGAGATTCACATCATTGTTAAAGCTTACATTGGTAGAAAAGTACTTTTTTCTCATTCATTCTAGGTAGGTAGGCATTATTTGAAATAATAATATGTTCAGTTGAATGTAACAAAGTACAAAGTTGCAGTTACTAGGACTGTTCTATGTAACTGAGGCAACACATTTTAGCAGAAGAAAAATAGTAGAATCAAACAAAGTGTATTTTGATTCAAGTATATCGATGTGAAAAGATAGTATTTTCTAGCATATACAGCACTGTACTTGGTTTAAAACAATTATCAGTGTTTCATTATTTTTTTATGGTGAATCTGCAAGTAACACAGTTCTACATTTAAAGACGGTATATATGTCACTTTATTCTACCATGAATTTGGATAATGATAGAATCTGAGAAGAATCAGTTAGAAGTTTCAAACCAGTCAGAATTACTGTATATTGTTTTAAGTTAAGTCAGCATTACTTGAAAATATTAAAAACATACCTAATTCTCCACCTGTCATAAGACGTGATTAAATGGATTGATTGGACAGGTTTGATATTTAGGATGATTGGACACCATATCCCAATTGCTTGGATTGATGCTCTTAATATACTCATGAAACAAATAAGGGAACACATGAAAGTACAAGTGTTCCTTTCTTCTTTTCCAAGTTTCTTCACAAGGTATGTATTGCACTGTGGGTGAAATTCTGGGAATAAATAAAGGAACACTTGTACTTTCATGTGTTCCCTTTTTCGTTTCCATGAGTATAATTAACAGACTGCTGTCATATAGTTGAAATATTAACTTACCCAAGCGTTAAACAACATTCAGATACACATTTGCCAATCATTTGTTAGTGGACATTTTGAAATAAGGATCTGTAAAAGGATAGGCTACAAAATACAGATTTACATGGACAAATATATGCAGAGGTTGTGTGGCAAGATATTTGGGCCAACAAACCATTGAAATTGAATGAGAAAGTGTATTTAATTCAGTTGATTTTAATTCATGTTTAGGCAAGACCAATTTTATTCCTTGTTTTACGGATCCGCTGGTCGTATTTTTTCAAGAATAAGAAAAAAAATAAAAATTAATTTTCCCTGATCAAGAAATAAAATCCTAATGTTGATGTGATACTAGTGTATAAAACATGGCCCGTCTCACTGTCCTTGACGGTCTATTTTTGTGAAGGACGGTCTATTAAATAAGTAAGGCCGTCCCTTGGTCGGGGAAATATTTGAAAAAATAAACTTAACTTCGTTTGAACTTTGTCTTATCTATTATTTTTTCATTGTTTTGGTTTTTTGGACTGGCTGTGTTTGTTCAGGACTGGTCACTTTTTTGGACAGGCCATATTTCAAAACTAGTTTATACACTGGTGATATATGTGAAATACTCTTTAAATCAATGTGAAACCTTAACTCGCTCAAGTTATTTTTAGGACCCATGAAGATCCAGGGTAGAATAGGTCTTCAGCAACCCATGCTTGTCACAGAAGGCGACTATGCTTGTCGTAAGAGGCGACCTACGGATCGGGTGGTCAGGCTCGCTGACTTGGTTGACACATGTCATCTGTTCCCAATTGCGCAGATCGATGTTCATGATGTTGATCACTGGATTGTCTGGTCCAGACTCGATTATTTACGGACCGCCGCCATATAGCTGGAATATTGCTGAGTGCGGTGTAAAACTAAACTCACTCACTCACTCAAGTTATTTTTAGTTAATATAAACAAACCAAAAAGAGTTAACATGGAAACTCATGTGGGTTTTTGCTTTGTCTGGTGATTTCAGAAAAATTCGTAAAACAAGAAATAGAATTGGTATGACCTTAAGAGACAATTGAGAAATAATAAGTTGATACTTTTTTTATATTTGACAATGCTCACGTTGAAAGTCCATAATAATGATCTATAAATGGACTAGATGCAGCTTGAACTGTACCTTGTGTTTTAAATAGCTATGTGCTTCAAAGTTCTGTCATATGGGTACTCCATCTATACACATCTGTCTGTGCCAAACACTTTTGAGTCTACTAACCCAAATTTGGTTCCTGGCATTATTGTCAGTAGATTTTATGCTATTACATGGACTATAATAATTAGTTGAACAAGTGAGAACCTCAATAGACTTCAGCTTCGGACAAGTGGTTAGTTGCAATCTGAGTCTAAATGTTCCTGTTCCAGTGGGGATTCCAGGATAGAATTGATACTCCAGTAACCGAAAAGACCACTAAAGTGGTTTGGGTTGTTAGGCTTGGCTTCGTTGCTAGAGTGTCACCTTGACTGATTTGGAAAATGCTATGGGTTGCTGGAATATTGCCGACTGCAGTGGTACCAATATGCAGTAGTGTTGGGAATTAATTAAAATCTATAATTGATAGTTGGTTCATTACAACCAGTCAGTCATCTAAGATAATTGGTTAGCCTCATTTATGAAATTTTCCTGGTTGTTTGTTAATGCACCAAAAACAGAAAGAAGAAACATGTACTTCTTTCGTGTGTGTTTTGCAAATTACAAAAATGCATTTGCAAATATCACATCTTTAAAGGGTGACTAGTATGTTAGGAACATAAATTTCCTGAAGTCTTTAAATTAACTTCAATCATGACTAGGAACGAGCTTCTACCGCTTATAAAATGAAACAAACAAAACCAACCTTGTGAAAATATTGTTAATGCAAACAAGCATTCCAAAATTGTTTGAGTTCGATTATGAGAAAACATGATCGATTGCTTGGTCGTTTAGTCATTGCGACCAATCTTCGATTATTTCAATTAATCAGACCACCACTAATATGCAGTAGCTCATTTTAAATCCTGTGTGAGTAAGCGAATGAAGAATAATAATTGTGGCCTTGTGTATTTTTATACCCAGTTATTTCCCAGTGCCATGGCATCAACACATATAGTTTGGCATGAAATGCATGTGGACCCTTTTTTTGTAAATATCTCTTCATCCAATGACCCAATCGATCTCAAACTGTGCAAGTGGATGTTTTGTCAGACAACCTAATCACATTGTAAATCACCGATTTTATGCATTTGTATTAAAGAATCTGTCTATGTAACTGTCAACAAAATAAACAGCAGAACGCAGACTGTTTGCAGAGGGAGGGAGCCAATGACCTGTAACAGCGGCAGTGTTGGGTCATAAAGGTCAACGTTCGTCAATGTAGGTCAGCTATGCTGATGACCCTGATGTCAAAAGAATGTAACTTTGGATGCCTACCTTTTTGTACAAGGTTTTGTTTATTGTTTGTTGGTTTATTTGTCACAATTTTTAGCACGATGTTCTTTTTCATGCCAAGAGCAAAAGTTGTACGTTTCATGTAATCCGACACCTTATAAATCGGCTTGCTACGTTTGCTCTCTTTTTTAAAAAAAATTCAACACATTTCTAATTAAACATTTAGCATCATCTGAATAAGCTTTCATGATGACAGCTAGAAGTAGTCAATGTGAATGATCAAAACGGTCGATCACTGTGCAGTGCACAGGTAACTATCATGAACTGCACGTGCATTTACCTTTCTGACCCAACACTGCCGCTGTTACAGGTCATTGGCTCCCTCCCTCTGCAAGCCGTCTGCGTTCTGCTGTTTATTTTGTTGACAGTTACATAGACAGATTCTTTAATACAAATGCATAAAATCGGTGATTTACAATGTGATTAGGTTGTCTGACAAAACATCCACTTGCACAGTTTGAGATCGATTGGGTCATTGGATGAAGAGATATTTACAAAAAAACGGGTCCACATGCATTTCATGCCAAACTATACAAGGGTACATTGTTGGGGAATTTTTGTATTTTGTGTGAGTTTTCTATTTTGTCAGTGAATTTGTATTAATAGGTTGACATCTGCTTTGTTTGATGGGGCAGTCATTATTTGCAGAGAGATCACCTGGAATGAAAGGCGACTGATCAAAATGGATAGAACTTTGTAGTAACACACATGATTTTAATGAAAGCCTTATTTTTGACTATTTTGAAGAAATCTAGTCAAGTCATAAATGCATTTGATAAACCAAAAAGCACCGTTGAGATCAATATGTGTTGAATCTTGAACTGATAGTGTTTGATATGGAACTTCATATAAGGAAGGAATTCAGACATAAAGAATCTTGTTTGCCTGATAATGAATTTGTTTTTGCATAGCCTCTAGACCTCCACTCTTTTTTCAGGTAATGTACTCAAGCTGACCAAAGGTGCAGAGGGACAAAATTAAGTATGGGAACTCACTTCACCAACTTTAGCAATGGATATGTGCTTGAGATAATTCCAGCAGGCCAGTCACGGTGTGAGTCATGGCTACTACTTCCAGCAGAGAACCTCTGGTCAAAAGAACTTCGTGGATTTCTCTACATTGTGGCCATGATATATTTTTTCATGGGCATTGCTATATCCTCAGATGCTTTCATGTGCAGTATTGAGGTCATCACAAGCAAGAAGAGAACCATTGTACGTTGGGATGAGGAGAAACAAGAGAAAGTCGAGAGAGAAATTCTTATATGGAATGAAACAGTTGCAAATTTAACATTGATGGCACTTGGAAGCAGTGCACCTGAAATTTTATTAGCTACCATTGAAGCTGCTCTCAGACTCGGTATTGAAGAAAGTGGGGACTCATTAGGTACATTCACAATCATTGGTAGTGCTGCATTTAATTTGTTAATTATTACAGCAATATGTATTGTGAGTGTTCCTACACCATTTGTGAAAAGCATAAAAGAATTGGGAGTTTTTGTCTTGACATCAATCTGGTCAATCTGGGCATATGTGTGGATGTTACTGGTGGTAGCCTATATTACTCCTAATGTGGTAGACCCATGGGAAGCCTGGCTGACATTGTGTTTCTTCCCCATGTTTGTCCTCATGGCCTATTGTCAAGACAGTGGTTGGTGGTGCAAGAAGAAGAGAGTGGAGGGCATTGAAAGTGGAGAGGAAGATGATGATGAAATGGTAGGTATGAGAACAGTGAGAATTTCTTTTTGCAATTAAGAATATGATCATGTTATTTATTTGTTAGCATTCAGTTTGGGTTAACCTTAGATAATTCACCATTATTGGAGAACATTTTATTATTCTGACTGCATACAGGGTCATCTTTTCAAAGACAAATATTTTATGTCCATGATACTAAACATGTTACTACAGAACTCTTGGTAAAAGAGGCTGATTATGTGCTTGTAATTAGTAAGGTTTTGTAGGTAATTTATTCAGTGAAATCATTTCACATGTAAAGCAATGTTAGAAACTTGGGAGTTACTTAAGTCCTTGATATTGTTTGTTACAGCATTTCAATGTTGCCCTGGACTTTTATTTTTAATCATAAGTCTTTAATATTAGATTTGTTTCAATTCTGCTACACAAGGCCAAAGATGCTGAAACTCTGTAAAAGGTGCTCAGATAATGAACAATATGTTATTTGCTTCCAGAATGTTCGAGTGGTGATGAGCAACCAGCAGAGCTCTCTGACTGGCCATGTGCCAAAGGAACTTCATGTACTGGAAGCACAAAAGGCACACAGAATGAGGTGAGAATGTCAGTGGTGGTAGTTTACGATCAGATATCAAACAGTGTTATGTAATATCAAGACAAAATGAACTAACTAAATAAAGAGAAGTACATAAGTATGCTTTTCTTGAATGGGTGGAGAAGACTCACACAGTTTGTGCCACGATGTTTTGTATTTTCCTGTCCCGTATGCTATATGGACAGTCTTTACAAGACCATCAGGTATTAGACCTGACCTTATGGTTTAGCCTTCATCATAGGCCAGAACCACAAGATTTATATTTGTTAAAATTAAATTCTGACAATCATTCACTGCCTACTTGGGTTTGTCTTTTGAAGCCCATGGCCAATAAGACCTTGATTATTCCTTGGACAGAGAAGTGTACAGTGATGCAGTGTTATTATTTTACTGCTAACCTTGGCTTGGGAGTACGGTCACCTTTTCAAACAGTTTGTCTTGATCCTTCATACAGCTAAGCTGCCCTATATTTATTCACAAACTTCGCGAACCTTTTTTTAATTCACTCACTTCACGAACATGTCTTTCAACAATTATGATTGTCATCAATTCTGTGATCATTAAGAAAGTAGAGTTTACAGATATGGCCAATTCACAACTGTTGGGAATAATTATCTCCCATCTGATATACAGTCCGCTTGATTTCATTTTAGACCGATGAATTGCTCACTAAAACGTTGTTTAACAAACGATCATTATTTTGTTGTCACTTTTCGCTAATTTTAACGATGGGGAACCACTTGCTGGTGGAACAGCCAGGTGTGTGTGTTGTAGTGTTGGGAATTGGTTGAAATCTCACAATTGATTATTGGTTCATTACCAACGAGCAATTGTCGGAAAAAATTGGTTTCGGACATATTTCAGATTTTCCAATTCAGATTGTTATAGCAGATAAGTATAACAAGATGCAACTTGCTACTTTAAAGTGATGACCAAATTTCCTGTACATAAACTTCCTGGAGTCTTCAAGAAATATTCAGTCATGACTTTTCAGTAAGTGATGTGAGTTTTCTGCGAATTAAACACGTTTTCCGACCCTGACAAGATCTAATATATATTTTCCATTGTCAAGTGTTTCAAACACTAAGACAGCAGTTCCAAAATCGTTTGTGTTCAATTATGAGAAAATGTGATCGATTGCTTGGTCTTCTGGTTACTATGACCAATCTTCGATTATTTCAATTAATTGGAACACCACTAGTGAGTTGCACATGTGAAATTTGAATTTCACTACACACGCTTGTTGATTACCTCGCAGTTCTACCAGCAAGTGGTCCTCCTCGTTAAAAATAGCGAAAAGTGACCACAAAATAATGATCGTTTGTTAAACAACTTTTTTATTTGGGTGTCCAATATTATGAGACATCATCAGAGTTGGTCTGTTGATTTCATGCGACTGTGCAAAATTTGGTTTTGTTGCAGTTATTAGATTTTGTGTTAGTGAACAATTCAAACAGACTGTAGGAGCAGGGGTGGAAATAACTATAAAATTGCTAGTGTACTCCGGTACAGTGGCACATGTAAAATCACTTGCCCTGATAAGTTTTCCACTATACCGGCCGTTTTCTTGCTGATTTTTTAAATAAACAACATAATTAATATTGGAAAGTCAACTGGACATCGGTACAGTGTGATATACAAATTTGCTTGCCCAACAGAAAAAAACACTGGATTCGGGCGTCGGGCAATGGGTTATTTCCACCCCTGAGGAGTAAAGAATATAGCAAGTAAAGTCATTGGTGGAATGGTAATGATGAAAATAAGTCATCTTTCTATGCTTGTTATCTCTTCTACAGTAAGTCCTTCTTTATATTATACAAAAGAAAACTTAAAAAGCAGATGCATTTCAAAAATGTTTCTTGTAGCTGGTTCTTTGTTATTTTATTTCATAGATCTGACAGAAATGTTGACAGGACACTATGTCTTTGTAAGATTTGTAGAATTCTTTCCTCAGAATCTGTATTTTATGACAGGATCTGGTAGACTAGTCTCTCGTCAGATCTTGTGGGTTTTCATGACAAGGTCCTGATGGGCTAGTCTCGGTATCCTCCCAAAACTTCCACAGCTTATAACAACAACATTTCTGGTTGACTGCACACACCTTAGCATACTGATTACCTCAGTCTGTAATGGTTTAATCCATTAATCAGTCATGAATACAAACAATCACTTAGTAATAAATTATATATTTAAGAAATACAGTTCGCTCTACCACCGTGTATAGTGTAATAAAGCACACTTTCGCCCTGAAATATTATAACGTTGAAGCACTCAGATGCTAATAGTTCAGGGTGAAAGTGTGCTTTATTACACTATACATGGTGGTAGAGCGAACTGTATTTCTTTTCTAAGATGCCATATTTAATACTTTCTAAGGATAATTACAATTCATCTAAGGCAGAAAACAAATGACGGTGTCAGTGACCTAAATTAAGAATCCTCGCACAGGGCTAACTGGCGCTGTTCTATAGATGTGTCTGCCCCCCTACGTTAAGACGAACGTTACCAGAGAAAACAAATGATAAACAGTTTGATGACGGTTTACGTTCGGATCAAATATCTTCTCTAAATTATTTTAATTACATCTATGATTAACGTAAACCATATGAGGCAATATGAACGTCGCATTTCTACTACCAACATAAGTACATCAGTACATCCAGATGAAGCTGAGTAGTCAAGCGACATTCCACGATTGCATTGTGGGAATATAAACATTGCAAACGTTACCGTGTCGCTGAAAACTTGTGAGTCATATTGAGACATTTTAACCGTCGGAAAACATAAACGTAATGTTTCCAGGGGTGATGTGTTAGCTGCGTGAAGCAACTGCAACCCAAGAAACCGAATGCAACGGAGTAGTTAACTGTAGGAGGCTGTACGAAGCGATGACAACTGACATGCATCATGATGTAGCTTACATTGTGACGTAATGCAAAATTGTTCGATTGTGAGGGGGCAGACTAGAATGGAGCAGTCTCGCCAATACATTGTGATGTAATCCAAAAAGTGCACATTATCGTCTGATAAAGTACTGTCGGCGCCTTTGATTTTTCACCGAAGCATCATAGAATAAATTTTATAAGGCAGAGTTATTAACAAAAATACATATCTTTCTAGTTACATGTAACAGTCTATGTCGAACATTTATATAGAACTCATGTCCTAAAGTGTCCAAGATTTCACCCACACATTTGACAGTCATATCCCTGTCACTCTGTACTGTTGTTGGAGCAAGTGGACGGTTCCGTCTCTGCTGTACTTCTGTCTTGATGCACCTGAAGGGTCTGGCGCCGAACACGGCTGTGATAGAGCCGTTACGGTGGTGACATTATGATTATATACCATCACATATTTTTTAAAGTAGACATATAAAACTGTCTATTATTAAAAATGTCACTGCTGTTATTGTGTCACTACCATAACAATTAATGCCAATGTCCATACCATAACATTATCAATGTCCATACTTAATTAAAATTGATTTATGTGTTTATGCCTGGACTTGGTAGTGCAATTATGTTTGGTAGTAGAACTTCAAGTAAGCATAATGCAATTCATATTTTCATCTTGAATCTTTTGCTACATATTACTTTATATTTGCAAATAAGAACTGAAAGGAATTATTTGGCCTGTTGGTCCCTTTTAAGCAATAAATATAAAATTTCAAAACTCATTAGCCATGTTATATAGTAAAACTACATATTTTAATATACATGTACATTAAATGTACGATAAGCTTGCATAATTTATGTTTTATATATTCAGAATACTATGAACGTAATCAACAACATTTCAAGTAAAAAAAAAAGAATTTTTTTTTTACATTTTTTGCCTACATGAAATAAGCACGATTCTATATTATATATATTTAAGATTTATTAACTAACTGCTCTCTTCTCTACTTAAATCTCTACTCTGCTATAGGTTGGCATGAAATGTATGTGGACCCGTTTTTTTGTAAATATCTCTTCATCCAATGACCCAATCGATCTCAAACTGTGCAAGTGGATGTTTTGTCAGACAACCTAATCACATTGTAAATCACCGATTTTATGCATTTGTATTAAAGAATCTGTCTATGTAACTGTCAACAAAATAAACAGCATGCTTGCAGAGGGAGGGAGCTGACCTGTAACAGCGGCAGTGTTGATAAAGGTCAACGTTCGTCAATGTAGGTCAGCTATGTACGTTTCATGTAATCCGACACCTGATAAATTGGTTTGCTACGTTTGCTCTCTTTTTAGAAAAAAAATTCAACACATTTCTAATTAAACGCATCATCTGAATATTTCATGATGACAGCTAGAATCTGTGAATGATCCAAACGGTCTATCACTGTGCAGTGCACAGGTAACTATCATGAACTGCATGTGCATTTACCCTTATGACCCAACACTGCCGCTGTTACAGGTCATTGGCTCCCTCCCTCTGCAAGCCGTCTGCGTTCTGCTGTTTATTTTGTTGACAGTTACATAGACAGATTCTTTAATACAAATGCATAAAATCGGTGATTTACATTGTTTCAGTTCAGTGCACTTCCTGTGCTATCCTATTAGATAAAAAGGGGTGATGAGGAGTTGTTGTTTTAACAATGTGTGGTACAGTCCGTTTGAGTCAGAAACGGACCGATGAATTTCAAATTTTATCTTTGTATAAAATTGCCACATAAATATAAATAGTACACATGTTTATCATTTACTAATACACAACAGCTTTCTTATATTTGAAAATTTTCCGGACTCCACCCAAAAAATTGTTTAAGAAACTATCATCATTGAAAACGCAAAAGTTGTTATCTGTCGCGGCGGGGTGAAACCGCAGAAACGGAACAGCCAGTCATGGCGGGGGACATCTCAAAATCTATTCCGGGAGACCTGTCGGTTCCTCGTCTGTCGTAGTGTCATAGTCACGACTTAAAGGGATGTTGTAAGCCATCCCGAGACCAGTAACCTTGTTCAATGACGTTAGCTATCTTGTTGACACAGTTTTGCCAAGTTTCAGTCGTGATTTTGTTAAGGGATTCCTTAACCAAAACCTCTACGTCATGTAATCTAAAAGTTGTGTTTGATCTGGCAACATCTCCTTTGACAATACCCCATATCATTTCAATGGGGTTAAGGTCACAGTGATAGGGTGGAAGTCGCAGAATATCGTGACCCTTACTTTTTATGTAACTGTCAACTTTGTAGAAAGGTTCGCCTTTGTGGGTTTTGATGATCTCATATAGCTGAGGCTTCGTTGCCTTCGAAGGCCGTGCGATCTGAAATTTGTCGAGCCATGATATCATCACCTTTTTGACTGTTCGATGTCGGGGCTTTACTGTCGGGGTCCTGCACGCTGTGGTATGGGGCATTGTCCATTACGATAAAAGACTTCTCTGGTACAGTTGGTACCAACTTGTTTTTTAACCCAATCGAGGAAAACCGCACCATTCATCTCGGAATGGTAGTCTCTGTTATCTGTGGACTTTGCCCTGAATACCAAGTCGCAGCCTGGGAGAAAGCCTTTGCTGGAGCAACCAGCATGGAGAATGATTAGTCTCTATCCTTTCCCTAGAGGCAGCTTTCTACGTGACCCCTTATCACCCCCATTGGGTACCCACTGACTGCTGGCAGTGTGCGAGGCATTGACCCAGGTCTCGTCCAAGTACACTGGCTCGAACCCTTCCTTGCGCTTCTTCTTTATAACCCTGAGAAAATTATTTCTCAAGCGAATGATATCAGGGCGTTCACAGAGTACTGACCTATTCTCCCCCGAAATTTTCTTATAACGATACCGAAAGAGTGTAAAGAGTCGCCAGAGTGTGTACTTTGATACTCTGAGGTTTGTGCTTCAAATGCTTTTTATATAATTCAAATGCTTTTTTTCATATAATTTTCAGCTTTTGACATGTATTTGTTTTCAGAATAGAGCTTGTTGATAGTCCACTGCCTTACAAGGTTCTTTTGATAAATTACGTTGTCAATGTCAAATGTTTTAATTTGTGTGATTTTGACCCCAGAAAAAAAAATTATATTACCCTCACAGGATTTTAGCTTCGCATCACCCTCACAATGTTTGTGTTCCAGAACATTTGTCAGTACCCTTGCTGATACTCCTAAAGCTTTTGCTGCCAGCTTACGGAATTTATTAATGGCATAAAATGGTTTGCCCTTTCGGCTTCAACACGGAAAAAATCGTACACTTTAATCATCAACTGTTTCACGTCAGCATTCAACTTCATTTTTCATCAGGCATGTGTATCCCGTGCACGACGAGATAGCGGCTGTTCCGTTTCTGCGGTTTCACCCCGCCGCGACAGATAACAAAATTTGCGTTTTCAATGATGATAGTTTCTTAAACAACTTTTTTGGTGGAGTCCGGAAAATTTTCAAATATAAGAAAGCTGTTGTGTATTAGTAAATGATAAACATGTGTACTATTTATATTTATGTGGCAGTTTTGTACAATGATAAAATTTGCAATTCATCGGTCCATTTCTGACTCAAACGGACTGTAGTATTCGGATGTGGAAGTTTTGGGATATAACCGCTAGTTTCTTGTCAGAACATTTGTGTATTTTATGACTGGGGGGTGGGGGTTCGGGGGGCTCTGTGTCTGTATTCAATTTCAGTCCAGTCTCCTGACCTCTGCATCAACATTCATTTAGAATATATACGCTGGATCCATTCAGCAACTTGCCTTGTACTGGAAGTGGTGCCACTGTCTCAATCTTTGTCATACTAATTCATGTAGGTATTATAAGCTTGAAATAATTACTTATCACAGTCACACATCTACAGAAAAGTTTGTTCAACAGTTTTACCTCCTACAATTGAGCCCCCACCCTAATATTTCAAAGAATCAGTAGTAAGACTTCTTCAGGAAAAGAATGTAACAGGTGGTTTTGTTTGTGTTAGCATGTACTACATCAACTACTAGTCATACTTGTTCAATCACCCAAGAACAGTACAATTTGATTGGATGGCTATTTCAATTTTTTGTGTGATTTAGGGGTAGCGTTCACTCATCATGCCCGAAGACCTGGATTCGATTCCCCACATGGGTACAATGTCTGAAGCCCATTTCTGGTGTCCACCGCCATAATATTGCTGGAATATTGCTAAAAGCTATATAAAACAATACTCACTTACTCACTTTGTGTGATTTGAACCAGACATGAAACAAAGCTGTAGAAGTGAATGGGTCCAAAATATATGTCCCAACAGAATGGATAAAACTTTGGATAATTGGGATCAGGCGAGCTAGTTATCATATAATTTAGTTCAGGAGGTAATATTTCTTGTAGCAGAATAGAATAGATTGATTCATTCACTCAGATAACTCAGTCATCAACACAGGGAGATAACATGTCTCAAATCCCATGTGTCAAGTTGGGAAAAAAAGGCTTTTAGCAAAGCAAGCTGTTAATGGTAGAGTGATTGAGCAAAGAAACTGCAACACTTTTCAATGTACGTTTGCCTTATGAGTGGTTTGACTGGCTGTATTCATATGATAGTGGTTGATGTTGAGTTCTTAGTTTGCCATTTTACTTATTGTCTTACACAGGTCAGAGATGAGATCAGTTACACCCTGTCTTTTCAGATGTCTTCTTGCACAAAGTATTGAGTGAATGAAAAAAGTATATGTTTTTAATTGGATACGTGTCTTTGAGTGTTGCTACACAGTTCCTTGCAGTGAGCTGTGTGTCAAGAACCACATAAACAAAATTGGTATATCTTCTATTTTAAACATTGACTGGACATTTGTCATTTTAGTTGGCTGGCCGTGAAAATTCATATGACCTTGTTTTTAATGTCAAACAATCTTGTTTGTAAACTATATGTTGTTTCTAAAATACCTCTTTTCTCATCTGGTCCCAATAGAAGCTTGATGCCTACTTAGACTTGCAAATTGCCATGGTATACACTTTGACATCGTGCCAATTTAAGATAGACATCTTTGCAATACTAATACGATACGATTAAGTTACTTCAGATCCACTGTGTATTTGTGTAAAATACATTAAAGAAATTCTCATTGCTAAATTATATTTGAAGTGTACAGGTGATATTTAATAAACTTAATCGTATAAGAACATAATTAACCAATATGACCAATGAATTTGTGTACCTTTATAGATCTTTATTCACTGATTAAATGGAGCGAATAATGCTTATAGAGGTTTTGTAGCTAGCTTCTTGTTTATCATCACTGCTGTGAGTTTATGTAACATGAGTTGGGCAAAACAGAGACAGATACAACTTAGAAGTCACCTGGAACACCATTTTGAGCTAAAAATATGTATTTGAAAAAGCATTGGTGTATAAATACTGCGTGGACTGACCTAAAGGGAAAAGACCTGTTGAGTAGCAAAAGAAAACTACCACTCCATGTGATTTTTAATTTGGGAATACATACGCAAATGGCTCAAAGCTTTATCTGGAACCATGATGAGATGACTGATTGATCATCAGTTTGGCGAACTGAGTGAGTGAGTGAGTGAGTGATGAGATGACTGATTGATCATCAGTTTGGCGAAACTGAGTGAGTGAGTGAGTGCTGCTTTGTGTTGAGTCAGCAGGCTTGCTCACATATTCTAACTTATGTATAGAAGATCAACTCCGACTGAAGAAGAAAATGGTCATTACAACACGGGATTGGTCTTATGAATGTTAAATCCTGCATTTAACTATAGTTTAGTATATTGATGTCATGGAACTAATGTCTTTGTTCTATATTGAATATGGTGTTCTTTTATATCCTCTTAATATTTTCTCATTCCCCAGAATATGTTGCTGGATCATATTTTCAACCTCAGATTTGTTTAGAAACAAATCAAAGAAATTTAAGTTATTAGAAGTGTGTTCGTTGATGCTGTTACTGCAGTTAGATGCAAAATCTTAAGTCCTAAGGTGAGGGGAAAAGTGTAGTAACTGGAGCTTCTGTTATGATAACAAAAAGATTTTACTCAATCTGTCTTAGCTTTGTTTCTCTGTATGACTGAGTTTCCCAACATGTTTTTGATTTAATGTTGCTCAATACAACATAAAATGTTGTAATGTTTCATTTGTCTGTACTGGTAAAAATAGTCCAAAGCTGTGTTTTTTTCAGTATTGTCAGCATAAATTCAATGTCTAAAGGAAGGTAAGTGCAACTGATCAAGTTGAAGTGCATATAGTGTGCTGCTCACTTCATCTTTGTTTCTTTAATTCATAGACATGATAGATGTCTGCTTTGTTTGCATATTAAACCATAGTTGATCCTTTAATGCCATTAGTAAAACATCTGTTGAATAGGGGTTTGAAAAGAACACATTTTATGAAAAGTATCACCTTTTTCCAGACGAAATACATATCATGATTAAGTCAATGTTTTATATAATAGCTTGTCGGCCTTTATGTCCTGTTATTCTGTCTGTGCAAACACAAAGGGACTATTTGACTAAGTTATAAGGAGAGGTTTGTGGTAACGCAATTCCTAAGATATGAGATATGGTATTTTTATGGAGAGAATTGTCTTGTAATTATTCAATATGGAGGCATAGTGCATTTGATGTTTGCTTGTTGGTATTGTGCTGGATGTGTTCAAGTATATGAGAGAAGATATAAACATAGATGTAATGATATATTAATTCACATATTTCTTTTTCTTTTTGAATGCATGGACTGTTAATTCATACTATGTAGACAGCTTCTTATGTTGTTACTCCTTAGTATTGTATTAGAAGTCTCTTTGTCGGATCTTATTCTAACACTAGTGATAAGAGAAGACTTCCTTCTCCAAAATAATATGTAACAAGTCCTGTAAGAGGTTTTGAACCATATCTTTAGGCTGTTCATGAAAGACCCTGACTTACCCTGTATGTTAGTTTCAGGGATTTTCATGGATTATTTATTTTGGGGGGTCTGGGGAAATCAAACCCTTTAGTAATAGGGGTCCACGTTAAAACAATGGAGGTTCAAGTTACAGATGAAAAATGTCAGATATTGAATACGGTTATACCATACCCTTGTATGAAGATAAATCCCTGAAGAATGACTTTTAGCTCGGCTGACTAAACATCAAGCAAGCTTATGTCATGGCATGTCTATTATTCTCCTATTATTAACCATCCTTTCCTTTTTCTCCAAACCTAAAGACTTTGTATGAGCCGATCTGTATCTTTGTATCTGCATCATGATAACATTTTCTATGGGGCAAGTGTGTGGGGTGCAGAATAACTTAACAGGTTCTTTAGCATGCTCTTTTTTTGTCAATCTACAACTTTTGACCTTCATGTATTTTTTTCTAATGTTACTTCATTTTGCATCTCCTGAAACTACAAGGCTTACGGATCCGAAAACTGAAGTGTTCAAAGAATTCTTGACCCATTTTTAACATAGTTGCCATAGTATTTTCATAATCATGTCCCTGAACTTAAATTCTTATAATGATATGTTATTTTGTTTGAATTACAGCAATTAAAAAGAGTGAACTTAAAAATGTTTGTTCAACCAATAACTTGAAATGCAGTTTTCTAATTGGGTACCACATTCACAGTCAGATGTATTAGAGAGCTTTGCTCACATTTTTGGGCTTGTTCTAGTCAGCTTCAGAGGTCCCGCTTCAGAGCGTTATGGCTCTGCTTTGATGTTATCTGATTACAATGTTCATGTCTTTAGTCTTTGAAAGTTGTGGGGCGGTGGGGTAGCCTTGTGGTTAAAGCATTCGCTCGTCACGCCGAAGACCCGGGTTCGATTCCCCACATGGGTACAATGTGTGAAGCCCATTTCTGGTGTCCCCTGCCATAATATTGCTGGAATATTGCTAAAAGCTGTGTAAAACCCAACTCACTCAGTCACTTTAAATGTTGTGATGAGACCCAAATATTTGAGCTCAGAGAACATTACATTATTCTTGTTGTTTCTTCTGACTTCACCTTTCTCAGATATAAATTAATGATATCCTGATATCTCTGGTGTAGTGACTAAACACTTGTTTGTTGTTTTAAACATATTTTATTCACTGAGAAAAGGATTAGGAACAAGTTCTCCAACTTAGAATACCCTCTCCTTGGTATGTACATCTAATAGGTAATTTAGATTTCCGCAAATAAAGATGACAGATAGTGGACAAGAAAGTAGATAAGTAAAAGAGATAGAGCTTATACAGAATAATACAGACTAAACACTTTCCACAGTTAAGAAATGTATTGGACTAATACATTTAAAGTTGATTTTATAATTGAAAATGTAAACTGATGCTCTATTCTCCCAACTTAAAGTGTGCAGATGTATACAATCCAAGTCACTTCTAATATGTAAAAAGTTTGTTTGTCTATTACGATTCCCTGTTGACACATAACATATGTGTTAATGCATCCAGGATATTTCTGGGGTGTTTTTTTTATATGTAACCTCTCCTTTTTAGGGGAAACATTACCTTTTCTTCATAGTTTATAATTAGAACTTTCACATTTTGAACATTTAGATTTCCTTATAAATATCTTTGCTTTGGTCAAATTGAAAATCTTAATTCCTTCTCTTTTTTATCTGCATGTAGCCTCAACAGTTTTACAGTTAGTGACTAAATTGGATTGACCTCTGATTTTGTTGATAGTATCCCATCAAAAGGGGCCAATTACTTATCCCCCGTCATGTGATATAGCTGGAATGAATTAGTGAAAATCCCCGAGAAGTATATGTGTGATTTGTGTGATGATCCTTTGTATAGAACAACTATACTTTAGCAGTCAAGTTAACCACTTTCTGTCATTGCTCCCTGCCATCATGAAGACTATGGCTGCTCAATTATGGCAACAGAGAGCCAAACATCTCACAGCATGACGTAAAGAGCCTCAGCTGCTAGAGTGTAATTGATTTGTACACTTAATTACATGATTCCCTTGTCATTTTTATTGAAATTACCCTCAAAGACCTGCTGCACCATCTGCAGCCACTGGTGATACAAGTGACATAGATAGATTGGACCAAATTTGTTTAAACTTTGGCTCTATGAATCTATGAAAGTTGCAGGCGGATTTTCTGTGTTTATAGTGTGTTGTGCGTAATCAGTCTATAATTACATGCTCTTGTTATTTAAATATGCCACAGTGTTATTGTGAAATGCCCAATGTTGTATTTCCACTGGGATATTCATTATCTTGAATGATCATTTTCTGTTGTTTTAACATATTGATGTTTATACTTTGTGAATTATGTGTGCAAGTGGATGTTTGTTGATCAAATATGGAAAGTGCTGACTTATTGTGTCCTGCTCAGGAGAGTATCACAAATTGAAGATGCCAGGCGAATGTCACGAGCTACGATTAATGGGGATAAGACAACAATACTCCCTCCAATCAGGTAACATGTAGTAGTAGATATACTTCCACACCCATGTAGATAGTTGTTCTGCCTGCACCACAGATAGCCTGCTACACAATGTTTGATAACACTTACTCTTAGCAGTTACATAGTGTTTGTGCACTTCTTACTACCTAGTCTGCACAGCAGATATCATGCAATAATACAGATCACAGCTTAAAGTTCACCTTCAGCTTTTAACCATAAGGAAACAGTTAACTTGCTAAGTTGGTATGTGCACAGTAAATAGTACAGCCATTTTATCCCTGAGACACTGCTTGTTTGAGAGGGTTAGTACATGTCCCATACAGTAATGAATATAATGCTGCATGGATTGTGTAGAACATGTCTTGCTTCTGCATGAACACTTCAGTAGGAATCTTTCAGATCTGGAAAAAGTTAATTATTCCTTCATTGTTTAAAGCTTGACCTTTTAAAATGCATGTACCATTATATTGATGTGTGTTTGCATTTGATTAGAACATGCGCTTTTATTGTGGTGCCAACATAATTGAACAATTGAAGTTCTATTGAAGCGAAATGGTGACTAAAGTATAGACTTTAGTAGTTGCATGCAGAAAGTACAAATGTTTAGTATGTTCTGTTGATAATATACAAGTTACACCTTCCTTTGATCCTCCCTATCAACATAGCAGCAGTGATGTATCAGGCAAGGAGATTAAGCTGGGGCATATCTAACCAGAGTGATTATTGATAGAAATGGTATGCATTCACCCATTCTGTTTGACATTTATGAAGTTTTCTTGATTGGTTAAGCCTCATGGTTAATAAGTCTTGCTTTGAAGACCTGATTTAGTCAAATATTCGTGCCCTGAATCAATCCCTACTGATGAGTGGAAGTAGCCGACTCGCTTAGTCAGCTTACTTCTTGCTCATACTGTATGCATACCAGTACCATGGCCAATCGAGTTATAAGCTGTCATAATCATCAGCGTGTGATCCATCTTGTTTATCACAGCAATTTGGGATAAGTTGCATGTTTCATGGTCTATTGTCAATATTTATGGGTTGAAAGGTCCGAAACCTGTTAATGAAAACATCCAAGAGAAATGTATGTCATACAAGCACATTTGAAAATGTATCTCAGGTCCGGAGAATGTCTAATAACCTCAAGTGAACAGAAGGTATGACTGCTTACTAGATGTGTTACTTTTTAGTATCGCGACAAAAATGACAATTTGTGCCCTATATTTCTAAACTTTAGAGGGTTTTACAAAAGTTCTCATTTTGTTCATATGAAGGTGCTTTGATAATGGACAGAGATGAGTGGCCATCAAAACCATACAAGTTAAATTTGTTATCAGAAATCAAAGTAGGTTGGAACAAACTTAGTTCAAAAGTTGGTGAAACTAAAAACCTTTTTTCCATAATATTTACTACGTAAGATCATACTTCTGTGTGCTACAGGTTTCTGTCAAAAACTCTGTAATGTACTGGGTACCCTAAGTAAGGACACTTACATAAATGTTTTATCTTAACTGGGGCATGTATAAAGATTACTTACAGAGATGCATAGAAATTATCCAAGGGGCTCCTTATTGGAGCAGGGTGCATGTTTCAACAATTGCATGTTTGGGACGTGTGGCAAATTGGCAATACCTAGTGCATTGATGGAGATAAATGTGACAAAAGGGCTGAATTTAGAGGTTTTCATGAAGTTTTTATGTAATTATTGAATATAGCCAAAGCTGATTTTCATAGCAGATGTACATGAAAGCAAAAATTAGAAAAATATATGTTCAAATACATGTTGACTCACAGAATTGTTCCTACTTTACAAATGTGCCATTTTCAGTGGGTAAAACACGCCCTGGTTCTTCGACATCCTTGATGGAGATATGCAATGATACGTAAATGCAGAATTAAATCATTTATGAATCATAGAGTCAAGAATAAACTTAAAAAACCTACCGGTACTCAGATCCTGCAATCAACCAAGAATTAATGAGAAGAGTTGTCATCATGTAACCTGTGACTTTACTTACAGATGAACAGTTTCTTTGAAGTGTTTGGTACATTACTAGCATTCACAATGGCATCACCAGACAATGTCAGTGATGAAAACATTTGACACGGTGACCTTACACATTGTCGTCCATATTATCAATATGAGCCAATCAGCAGTGATAATAAATTAAAACTGACTCTTAATACAATTGATATGTGATATATCTTTGTTTAGTATTGTATGGATGTATTCATCAATATCTATCTGGCTGAAACAGTTCCATTCATCATAAGGATGATTATCTATGATCAGTCGGTTTATAAACAACTCGGCTTCTGACATGATTGACGAGGTGCTCTCTGTTCCATTGTGTGTTAAATATGAAGAAAGGCTCATAACATTTAGTGGAAGGCTGATAAGGGCAGATATATGTAGTTGTTTGGTTAGGATGTTCCACTCTGTCACATTTAGAAGCTTTGGCAATAAGAAATCTGAAAGCATTAACGTTTAGCTGCATGACACACAGGAATGTTACTATCAGGTGGAAATGCCTTGTGTTATATGATCAAGCACTTATGTGCAATGTGACAACTGTTTCTTGTCCTGCTTCAAGGGGATCTGGTGTGTCAGGCTCCCTGAATGATCTCCAAGAGTCCACAAGATGGGAGGCAGCTAATCGTACTAGTGTCCGCCCCGAGTGGCTCTCGGACACAGAGAGGTATACCGTCCTAGCCACCTGACTGTTCTGACAAACACTGCAGATGTGGGTAAAATGCATCCCTGCTTATGTCATTGTGGCGACTTAACATCATGATAGATTCTTCCTGTGTCAAAGAAAGTGTAAAATGTTTTATAAGGAATATTATTAAGTGCTGACTAGCAATAAGGGCAAGACAACTTTGTATGTGGTTAATGCTGCGAGCATAGAACACTGCAGTGTCTGTCGGCTTGTGACAAAAGGCAATGATATTCCTTCCATATAAACTGCATCACCAGTGACGTCAGCAAGAGCTGATTTACACCATTGCCTGTTGTCTAAACTCATGTTCATGTGATAGTGATGTATTTCAGGCAACTAGTCTTGTAAGTGTCTGTGTGTATTTCCATTAGCACTAGATCTGGTAGAAGTAGGCCTATGTTCTTTGCTCATGGGGAGCAGTGGTCACAGGCCTGTGTTGCCTGTACTTCTGTTGACCATTCTACGCATTAGATGTATGTCTGCATGGGTGATCAAGCTATTAATTTGTATCTACAGTGCATGGATGTTGAAAGCTGTGCACAAGACGCAACAAACAAAGTCTAAATATGAATTCTTTAGTGCTAGTTCACTGATTTGTCTCTGGTTGTTATTCAAGTGGTTCGGGCTCTGGCCTCACTTACTCCCTGGATGACCTACAAGATATGTCTCATTGGGAGGCAGCAAGTCGAGCAGGGGTACGGCCGGAGTGGCCTTCTGATACCGAGTCCAGGCATTCCAGGTATACAATGCCTTGCTGTGGTCAGCATGAACAGTTCTGTTGTGAAACACAGCTCCACCTAGAGACATGGGCTTTCTCTTCAGTTCACATAGTGGAGAATCGGCTACTTCATTTTGATAGGGATGAGAACCTCTGGATGTCTCATCAAAACCACTTAGCATTCAAGAGAGATATTTTCAGATTTGAAAAGAATGTTTTGAAATCTTTTCCTTTCAAGTTGTATACTTGACATGAAGGTGTTCTCATCCCTAATAGGCATTTGAGTTTTTCTACATTTGGGTTCAGTCTTCATATTTCAAATAGCACATGCTATAGCATACTTTGTATTGATAACTGAATACAAAATGTTCCATAAGTAAGTAGAATGCCACAAGGCAAGGCTGAAATCATTTAAATGAAGATAGTTGAATTTGTGTGTCTTAGAGAGTGTGTTCGGTTTGTTGTGCCCTCTTCCATTGCGGGTGTTTTGTTCAAGTTGTGTGTCATTCCCCACTCACCGTGTGTGCCTAACACTGGACAGGAAAATTCCACTCTCAGTGACAAACACTCATCCATTTCAATTGAAACACCAACATTCAAATGCATAGCAGACAGTTATTGTCAAATTAATTCTTACAAAGGAGGTCATTAAAGATACCAATCCTCTTTCTGTGATATGGATTGTTACAACATTAATCATGAAAACAGAATCAGATTTTGTATTCAGTGGATGTTTGAGGAAAAGAATGTTGTTTAGGTTGATCCATATACCTTGGACAAAGACAGTATGTCCAGTCGAATCCTGTCATTAAAATACATAGGTTTCCCAAGGTAACTTGCAGAAATTGAAATATTCATATATGGCAGGTGATCCAGTTAAGAGATTCAGTCAGTCAGTCTCTCTCTCTCTCTCTCTCTCTCTCTCTCTCTTTCTCTCTCTCTCTGTCAGTCATTCTCTCTCTCTCTCTCTCTCTCTCTCTCTCTCTCTCTCTCTCTCTCTCTCTCTCTCTCTCTCTCTCTCTCTCTCTCTCTCTCTCTCTCTCCCTCTCCCTCTCCCTCTCTCTCTCTCTCCTCTCTCTCCCTCTGAGGGACTGATTCCCCACAAGGGTATGATATTGCAGGAATATTACTAAAAGCAATGTAAAACCTAACTCACACACTCACCCTTTTCTCTCTCCTCTCCCTCTCCCTCTCTCCCTCTCCTCGCTCTTTCAATTTAAAAGGTATAGACATAGAAATATAAAAGCTATTTCCTGGTACTGCAGTACTTTGTCAAAGTCAAAGAGATGGCATTTAAACATGAGAAGCACTTTTGCTTGTGGATTTTTAAAAACTTTAATCATATTGTTTGCATGTGGCTGATACTTTGAGATATATATATATATATATATAAGAAGAAGTTTCTGAAATAATCACACGACACAGATCTTCTCTTGTACAATATATATATATATATATATTATAGTTATCAATTAGTTACATATATACTGTGTCAAACTCTGGTTGTGGCTTTTTTTTTCAGAGAGCACAACATAATATATTGAAGCAAGTTGTGGGGTTGCTTCAGATTTTGCATGTTACTCATACACAGGGCATGTACTACTTGCATGAACACTAACTTCCTGTCTTAGATCTAGGGATATGGTAGTCAGTTACTGTGCTTTCCATTAATCTGTTAATGTAAAGTCAAAAGGAATTGTATTGTGACACAAATTTGGATGATACATGAATTATTTTTGTTATAAACTTTCTTGTTAACTTGTATGGCCAGATTGACTACACAACTTTTGATATTTAGGTGCTGGATGTTTGGCTATAATAAGCATCATGCCACAATGGTGTATGCCACTATCTGTACTACAGTTATCTTGCATGTGGTTACCAATTCCTCACACACTGGGGACTAGTATGGGCAGAAGCCTCAGCATATTGTACCTATCACTAACATTGTACGTTTCATACACTTGCTAGAACAGATGCTTTGATGCTTCCAACAGGGAAGACCTCAGAACTAGTACATCCACATATGTTGGCTATGCACTGCCATTGCTCTGTACTGGAGCACATGACAACTTGTATCCATTGATTTTCTTTCATGAACTATAATTCTTTGCAGGTTCATGTTACAGTTATCATCAAAATAGGAATGTTTGCAACTTGTTTTCAGGAGTGAGAAACGAATTAAGTTAATTAATATTTAATGTATAATTTTGTTTCAGGAAAAGACTATTCTGTTTAATATTGATTAGAATAATCAGTCTGTTTCACAGTGTAAAGCTATCTACAGTTCAATATGACAGTATGTTTGATAGTTCATGTTCAAGTTTTGGTCGCCCTTCTTATCAATACAATACAAATTTTGTTGAAAAGTGTCTAGTGCTTGGCAAATTGCACAACTCACCATTATATACTGCAACCACTCTCTGATTACTGCTATCATAGCTTAAAATGAACTTCAGTTGTCAGAGAATGCATAGATATAAATATGCCATCCATAACGCTGTAAAAGTCATGGTTTTTTTTGTAGTTGTAGTGTTACTGTTCTGTATAAACATATTGTTTTGGCTTTTGGCATAAAAAATGTTGGACTTGGTTCTGATCAGTTTGCAGGCTCTCTGGCCAGTCAATTGTTCTAGTCTCTGGTACCGGCCATACTACACATCATTCTTACACCACAGATCATCCTTTGAGTTGTGGATTCCCTGTTTGTGGTCCTGTTGAAGGCATCTGAATTATTTGTTGGACAGTTGGTGCAGGTGATCGTTGTACATTATTACCCATGATCCTTTTGTGACAGAGTTTAGAAAAGGTTTTGACCACCACCTGCCTTTCGACTCATAGTCTCTGGCCCAGCAGGCATCTTCCAGTCATGGGGCCTGCAAGAAGGTTTACTTCTCACTAGGGCTGCAACGAATACACTATGTGGCGAATATGATACGTATCATGAATATTGGGTAACGAATACGAATAATTATTTACGAATACAATATTGTAGTTAAGTGATTGATGTACAATATGGAACACCCATGTTGACAGTTTTGATTTGTCACAGCATTAACCAGTGATCTCATGACACTACAATTTGGTATGTAATAGTAATAGTCGACAGTTCCATGTGCGGCCTTGGCAGACTAACATGACTTGCGCTACTGCAATGCTAGTACATATTCTATCCTTGCATATCTCACTTTCCAAAAGTAGACAAGGGCGCCAAGTAAAACATGCTCCCTTAAAAAAATGTAAATATTCGTTAATATTCGGTTCTGGTGACCACGAATAACTAATTGAATTCATGAAGGGCTACGGTTCGATTCACCGAATATGCAAGTGAATCGTTACAGCCTTACTTCTCACAGACGTTTGGAAAAGGTTGAGACACGTCTGGGATTCCCATCCTGTTGGGGTAGCTCATAAATGTTCCAGACTATTGTCCGACTTACAGTGTTTCCAGTTCCGTTTGTTGCAGTCCAGTGTGAGGTCTGCAAGAATATCCCCTGGAATCATGTATCTGACTGATGATTGAGATCTTAGTGGTAGGACAAGCACGGTTTGATAAATGCTGCTTTTTTAGTATTGGTAGGTATTTTTCTTCTTTGGTTTAACATCTATGTGCAGGTAGTATTGAGAGCTCAGCTACCTCTAGTCTGCTGCATCTGGATTAAAACTCATGGTTCCCATGTCTTGGAATTACACATGATACACTTTTCTACAACAGCAAATTCTTCACATTGGTTAGAAGTCTCTGTCGCGACTTTTATGGAATATCTACCTTAGAATCTGTGCTCTTTTGATGGGCCCATTGGGGCAGTGTCTTTGTTTCTTCATGTAGGTCCGGACTTAAGAGAGCATTTTCTATGTCCTGTCCATGCTCTTCGGTATCTTTTGCTAAGGATGTAAAGGAGACCTTGCCTTTTTTCCTTCCAAGACAACCCTTATCATGAAGATATATTTAAGAATACTATTGCCTCTTGGTTTAAAGAGATCACTTCTCTTTGCAACCAAATGGCTCTGGATTTGCCTTGTTGCCTTCTAGGATAATGGCAGATTGGCAGTCTTTTTCAATATATCTTATATAACCTACTGGGTGTCTTGTAGGAGCAGTACACATTTCTATCACAGCAATAGGCAGTATAACCTTCACCTTTATCTGCGACATTGATGCTGTTGTATGGGTAGTATAATAGTTGCCTATGATCTGTCTATTGTCATGTCCTAAAAGACATGCTCCATGATTCAGTGATACATCAGGGATGACCATGATTGCTTATATTGTAAGAGTAAACTACTTCATGTCATCTTGAAGCAATGCAACAGGATCACCTGCACATTCATTCCAGGTTGTTGACGTATTGCAAATGGTACGTACTTAAGGTGTTTTCCTTGATGTTTGATTCTTTGAATTTCACTTTCAAACATTAAGTTTGTTTTCATTGTACACATACTCAAATCTCAAACTTTCAGTATTTTCAGTTTGTCTTGACAATGGTCACATGTTATATCAGATTATGTTCTTAGATATTCTTATTATCATTATTATTATGCTATTATTTGTATAGCGCCAATATCCAGCTCAGCTGCTCAAAGGCGCTTTGTTTTTCCCTCGATCATTGGATGTCAATCTCAAGAGGCACATCATATTATCAATCCCAACTCCTTGGGGAGCCCCCTCTACACGCAGCCCAGACAGCGAATTGGACTTCTCCCAGGAAACGCTGCCTAGTCAAACCCACCAAGAACTTTCCGGACTCCCCAACACTGCTGCCTTCTGCATTACCCAGAGTGTCAGAAGGGCTTGTACCTCAGAGTCAAAGCCACAGGCATAGCGGAGACAGTAGTAACAGCAATGAGCCATGCCATCATGTCATTTGCTGTTTGTGCCAAGGAAGAGCATCCACTGACAAGGTGTTGGTCAGTCTCTGTAAATTCATTTGCAAAGTTGACATTTCATATTGATATTTTGTTTAAGAATCACAATTTGGCAATTGCGTGTGGGAAGTGACTGGTCCTGGGCAGCTAAAAGAAGGCCCTCAGTTTCACATTTAAGACCAGCTGACTTCATCCAGGCGAAGGTAGCCGGTTGGATTACTGTTCTGTTCCACACACTGCATATATACACAATGCAGAGGCTTCCCGGAAAGCTTCTCCACAAATGACTAACTCTGGGCAGACTTGGTGAATGACTTCACCTGGTTTACTCCCATCGCTGTACCGTCCAGCTACCTCAAATTTCAGATTCTGTCCAAGAACCTTGGCACGCTTAAAATAGCTGTGGAATTCCTTGTTTTCATCATGAGTCTTGACCAGAGCTACAGATAACTTTTTGGGTCATTGAGTTATGTACTCCCTTGTCTTCATCTCAATTGGGTATCCTAATATTCCTTTGAGTAACGAAATAAATTGTACTCACCTCACTCTAACTCAATTGGGTATTTTGCCATTTTCCATTAATTTTAAAAATATAATAAAGTTTAAATGTTAGTGTTTGTGATTTACATTTGATCTGTAATATGGGAAACGATAAGAAAGACTGCAAGTTGTCAAGTTCATGTCCTGAAAAGGAACCTCTCAATATACTTCAGTTATTTTATCTCTCCACTGGTATGCAAGCTACGATTTGACATTTTTGTGTGTATGCATGTAAGATCACATTTATTGAGTATTTACAAAACTTCAAGCGTACTTGTACGCAATAGACTTAATAGGAATTGAGTTTTCACATAAATATTTGCATAATTTTACGCAGATACGCAGCTTATCTGTACCTCTGATTACCTAACACTCTCTATGTCAAAGGCTAACTAAGGCCTATAGGCTGGGCAATCCAGTTGGTAGGCAAACTAAGCTGACAATCAGAATCATGCAAGGAAGGTTTGAGTTGATTTGCCAGGTAGAAAACTTGCTGGCTTTATTGTGATGGCTAAATATGATGATTCTATTAATTCATTGAAATTACCTTAAATGTGTGTGTGCACACACACACACACACACACGGTGCATCAAGAATGATGTCCAAGTGATGTAACCCAAATGTCTTTCTGCAATGGGATTTATTTTTGTTTCATGGCTTCTACTGTTCTAGTCTGTCAGCTGTGAAACAGGGTAAAGTCAAGATGGGATGTATTTCCACTGTTCTTGTCCAAATATCATTGTGTGGGCATGAAGGTATGATGGAGCCAATTCCTGCAGTTGTCTAGAGATACTTGCCAAGTAAAGTGCAGACCAGGTGCTAGTAATAACTCCTGGCTGGGCTCATCTAACTGACCAGATTGTCTTAGCGCCTCAAGTTGCATCCTGGTGTTGTTACTAGGGTGACCTATATATGGTGTGAATGTAGACACAGTGCCAGGCCAGATGCTAGTAGGCAGCCAGCTATGACCCCTATATATATAGCTCAGAAAGGTCTACTATTCTGACATGGAATGGAAGATAAAATACTTCTTGACCATGCTGTGTTTGACCATTCTTTATTTTTCATATGCTACACACCTTTAAAATGTTCTAGTTTATGAACTTGAGATTTGATTTCATGTTTTAATACAGTTCTTAAGCTTCAGGTGTATAGTTTGATCATATTCCCCTGAAGTGCATTGCATGGTTTTAGTGACATTAGGACTCTGTGGTAAAGAAGTTTGTATTGTGGAGTCATTTTACCATTTTTCCGTAACACTTAAATGCTTAGAATTGCCATTTGTTGAACATATACCCTGAAACTATGCTGTAAAGACACCATTTTGTACATTTCTGTGTTAATAATAGAATTAGCCTTACAGGTCATTGGCGTGATCTGTGTGTTGTTAACACCTTCAGCTGTTTATTCAATGTGTGGCATACCTGGTCTAGACTTACATCACATATGCCAAATAAAGTGAAAGTACTAATCACTGTAGTGTTTTGTGCTATGCTATATTTCTAAACATAGAACTCATTCTTCCTTGTCATAATGCTTTCTTTTGTGTTGTTTCAGGAACATAATACTTATAAATGTGACAAATCTTATATGATATAAAGATTTAAAACTGTTATTTTATTTGTTGTGTAATGCATATTGGTAGTGATACTCATGAACAGATCATTATTTGTGCTGATGAAATAGAATACTTTTCAGAATATTAGCATTCCACATGGATTGTGTTTCTTCTTGTTCCTGACCATGTGGCCTCCTGTAGATATAGCATTGTTTAAAGCTGTTAGGTAGTTGCTACAGTTAGCTTGGCCCATCTGTTTCTCAACTTCTGTGTTTTCCAGTGACAACAGGGATGATGAACGTCCGCCATCCAGAGAGAGGATGATTGTTCGCAAGTCTTCACGGGAACCTCAAGCCTTTGCACGTGCTCGGTACGTGTAATTTGATTGTCTTATCCTTGCAGATAGTTACTCACTTTTTTCTCATGTCATATTTGTCAGTTATACAAACTTACTGAAATAACCGCACACTTTCCTAGATTTGACTTTATGTATGATGATTATATTCACATTTGGATGCTAGGGACATAACAGAAATAAACTAATAGTTTGGTTGTAACATAACCTTAACATGAAAAGCTGATGATGAAGGTTTCTGTCCATGTGTTTTACAGCGTGTTGTATCCCGGACCAAAGATATCACCTATCTTTGAATCATGCGATTTGGAAATGGACAAGTAAATTCCTTGTTGACTTACAGTTTTGACACTGTGTCTATAATTTTTATTATGACCCTATTAATCATAACAAGATTAATATCCTTGTCCTAACACTGGTATATCAAAGCAAAATACTACTGTGCATGTTTGGAATGCCCTGATAATACCAGGACATTTCTGGACCTGTGGAAGCACTGCAGCTGTCCTGTACATGGACAAATCCCTTACTCAAACACTCACTGGCATGCAAACTAATACACAGAAAGAATGAAGTTAAATTTAAGCTTGATGAAGAGTGGCATTTCTAACACCACGTGTTCATGCTCACATGTATAGGTTGATAAGTGACAAATGACAGCCTTTAAGTCATTTCAGGATGGAATGTGGAAAGTTTCCAGTGCTTTAAATTTATTTGCAATGATGAATATTTTGATCCAATTAATATGGAAAAACATCCATTTTCATGTATTAACTTGTCATCTTCATACCATATTACACAATATACTGAGTTTATATGAAGGAGAACATTACTGTTTTCACATACTCACCAACATGCCTTACCATATGCAATATTTGTTTAGTGTGTATGAATTGCTACTTTAACCTCTTTGTTGACTTGATGGACATGTGTTGGTAAGTGAATCTCCCTTCTCCCCTACATACATAAACATCATAGCCAAATCAGCACAGAAGCATGACACTTAATTTGTTAAATGTCAGAAAATTTGATGTATAGTATAATATTTCAGTGGTGAATGTTGAATTCATTCTGGATCTTTTGTTCTGCTTCCAAAACTTTGTTTACTTAGGATTGTTATTTTTTGCACAGATAACCATTATTTAAGTTCGCTTGGTACCAGGATATATGTTTCTATATGGCCACCTGAATACAGATGTTTACTTCTGTAAGTGATTGCTAACATCTGCCAACAACATGCAAATAGTTTCTTGCTTAGTTTCAGACCTTTATAGCAGTGAGCCGTTCTCTTTATCAGGCGCTGCTAATTTGTTGTGAACAACGGGTGAAAATCCTGTCTGGCACAAACTCTTGAGAAGATGGCAGGTCCACTACTTTCAGCATGTGAAAACAATGTCTCTTACATCCATATTTTCCAGTCATGAAAGATCCACTGTTACATATTTTTGTGTTCATTGTACTGATGATATATTGAACACATGCAGGACTGTTGTGCTATCAGCTACAGTCTATATATGTGTCTTATGGGCTATAAGTATACATTATATTTAGGACATTTTCAACATATGTGCTCATTGTCATAGTAGATTTATTTCCTTTTTTCTTTTTTTGTGCCACAATGTACTCATCCTTTGTGTTATATAATACATTTCTGACTGTAAATCAACCTGATTTCACTATAACTGAAATCATGCTTGAACACTCAGCCAATCTCAGCAAGGCTTCAGTCAACCATCGAGCCAATTCTTGGATTTTCGATCAGTAAGAACTTTGATATTTTCCTTAATCAATCCATGTAAATTCCTTCACAGACCAGGAGTTTTGAAGTGTTGCAATGTCTATCCAGGCTTTTATAATTACATTTAGGTTTTTGGACAATAACTGATATATTGTACAATTTGAACAATCCAAAACTTTAACCACTACAGCCATGGTCTTGTAAAATTCAGTTTGGTCTCGGAAGCTAATAAAAGTGCATCTGATCACTCAAAAACCTCAACTGAAAATGATGCTTGGGGCCATGTTCAGTCTTGTAGACTCATGAGTTTTTGGCACTGACTGTTGATATTTTTTTCTGACAAATTTGTTCAGAAATTTAGTCTGATCCTTTTACATTAATGACTTGATACTTGTTTGATCGGCATTCCAGAAGTAAGTGAGTAAATAATTAAGCAATGGATAAAACAGTTTAGCTTTGTTAACGGTGTAAGAATATAGATCACAACGTTGCTGTATGCAATAAACAAGAAGATGTTATCCATAAATTTGTATGCTTTGTTAATGATTTGATAACCATTACCTACAAATATTGCTCAATTTAGGCAAATTTAATCAACTCAAAGAGTGTCATGTGTAAATGCATGACAGATCTGATTGAATGGATTCAAACTGGTTTAAGAACAAAGTTCTGGTTGCTGAAAGTCTCCTGCAGATTTAAAACAATGTTAACATTAAAAACAATAAGTGTTTTGAGAGATGATATATAAATACTTATCATTGTGAATGTAAAATGAGTTTTGAAAATATGAGCTGCAAGGGAAAATCCATAGCTGCATCATCAGATATGCTATTATCTTTTTTCCTTATACACCAAAGATATATGAAAACTTGCTGAATACTAATATTAAACTGCTGCAATCAACTAGCTATTCACTGACTACACCTTCATCTACAGCTAATGCAGAGGTGATCATTTCATAGTAAAAGTAGTAATACTTCTACACTAAGGTTTGTCTATGGTCTTGTGATAAAGACATGCTCACCTTTCTGTTAAATGCTCTCAAATAAACAACATTATTAGAAATATCAGTAATTTTATGCAAACTTTCTGACAGGTACCTTCTTTATGCTAAAGCCAACATTTGCAAATCATTTTGAGACTAATTGTGTAATCTTGAAAATATATTTTGAACCAGTCAATTTATGTAGTTGAAGTGGAAGGGCGAATGAAACATTACTTTGTTGCCGAGAGCATTGTTTCAGGATCTTTCAGTTGATAAAACCTTTTGTGAATTTCAGGCATAGATGAAGTACATTAACATTGTTTACATATGGCTGTGAAACAGTGTGTGTTTTTTAGAGTATGTATATGTGGGCAGTCTATTCCTGCAAAGACTGGCCTCCATCTGGCAGCATCTGCATATATCTGATGTAAACTAAAATAGACATACACCATCAAAGTGTGTGATACATCCCTTAGCTTCCCTCATCAACATCTTCAGTCTGTTCCCAGAAACTGAGAAAATGTTATGAAGGTTGACTGTAGCCAACACTATAGTCTGTTTGCAGTGAAAACGTACCGATGAATGTCAGTTAAAACCAAAAGGTAAAGCAAATAAAGTGAAATTAAGACTGCGAATCCTCATGATTTTACCTTGCCAATTGAACATTTAAATCTAAGAAATTTATTCGACTTAGGATAAAAGTTGTTTAACAAATGATCATAGTCTCGCATGGCTATTATTGGTTTGTATTACAAGTGGGTATGCACATCAAATGAAACACCGAAAACGACAAGGGTTGTTATAAGTTAACGCTTTTCACGTACAGCAAGTGCATTTGTTTCACTGTTCCAACTACTGCGCTTACCCCATTGTAATGCAAACCAGTAATAGCGATTTGAATCTATGATCGTTTGTTAAACAACTTTTATCCTAATTTGAATAAAATTTTGAGATTTAAATGTTCAATTGGCAAGGTAAAATTATGAGGTTTCGCAATCTTAATTTCACTTTATTTGATTTACTTTTTGTTTAAAGTGAAATTCATTGGTACGTTTTCACTGCAAACAGACTATATATACACCCATATAAAGCCAATGCATGATATATATGGCTGCAATCCCAGACAGTCCTATTATATGAAGAAGAGGTAGTTAGCTTAAATCTAATATATCAGTGAAACTTGGTGAGATAATTACATATAGCTTGATGCAATCAACAGGTACTTCAGTAAATGTGGATGTCATATAATATGTATACCATCTTTGATTTATAATTTTAGAAACCATTTTGCAGTTTGGAAAGGTTTATTAAGAAAAAGAGATGTATTTCTTGGAAAAAGCACAGACACTTGTGAAGAACATTATGAGGCACTATGACCTATATGTCAGAAGCATTCTGCCCCATAGATATTCATCAGGCTGTACAAAATCTTCTCCTCTTTGTTATCCTAGATGTTACATATACATGAGGAGAATGTTTGTGACTGTTTTCCTTGCGTCTGTACGAGAGCAGATGAAATATTGAACAATGCCAGTCAGGACAATTAACTGATGCTGTTCCGCAGCATGCTATTTATTTCATGCCTTTTCTTTTTCCTCTTTCCCCAATGGATGTCCAGATTCAGGTATACATGGTTAAAGAAAAGTAGAGTTCTCTTGAAGTGATATTCCTCTCCTTAGTTCCTCCATGCACCCACCTTGTTGCATATTATGCAGCTAACTGCCTGTATCCATGTGTCTGTATGTGCCTGTGTGCTTGCCTGCTGTCTGCCTCTTGCTACTACAGTGTTCTTAGAATGAAATTCCATGTACCAAAGGTGCATGATATAGATCACCTGTCAGCATGATGTTTGAAATAATCAGAAAATGTTGCAGTAGTTCATAATTTTGAAAGACAATGACCATTGACCACCTTACTGTCAAATAATATATGAGTGTTGACTAATTTCCTGCCCACTTTGATATATTCCATTTTGCAAATTCAATTCCAAGTAAAAACACTCTTAATTTTGTTATGAATATTTGATTCTAGTGATGGCAAATAATAAACTGAATTCATGAAGGGATACAGTTCGATTCACCAAATATGTAAGTGAAGCGTAGTAGGCCTAGCAACCAGGATTCTTGAATATGAAAATATTGAATATTTTTGTTCAATTGGCTCCTGAAAGATTCTGACAAATCTATTTCAAGATTTTGACAAAGCCTGTTGAGCTACAATGTTTAGTTGTTTTATTTGTTGTGTATACATTTCCATTGTGTGACATGTGAAAGCCATTTGTCTGCTCTTTACTACATCAGTTGTTATGCGACATAGATGAGAATAAGAGTGTTAGTTAGACAATTCTACAGGTAATTTTGTTGGTATCGAGGTAAGTTCTTTCTCTGCCTGACTGCCCACATACTGACACCACCCTGCAGGCCTACCATGCCAAAGCTACTACCTTCCCAAAGCTGCTAACTTCCATTGCAATATAAACCCTTACACCACTTCAGTTAAGAGGAATAACATAATAATACAATCCATCTCTATTTACATTTATGAATTTTAAAAATTGTTATTTTACAAAATCTTGTTATAAAATGAAAAACAAAGTGAATTTCAGTTCTTTTGTGTGTGATGTATTGTTTCCATGTTGTCTGTGTGTTGGACATCTCAGCCATCTCATAAATTTGACCATATATATTTGACCCATTGTGTAGATTCATTCATTGAACATTTGTTCTGTTCCAACATTGATGCTGTTGGAATCCATTTTGTACATGTAAGAATTTGCAGATTCTCAAGACAGTTGGATCCACTTTGAAGAGTGAGACCAGTGTTTAGGGTGGTAGTTGACTAGTTGTATGGCTGAGATGTTAGGCACTTTTTGGTTTGAATCTGCAGAAAGTGTGAAACATGTTTCGACATTGAGGAGCGACAGCCTCTTACAGGGCTTGAGAGGTATTTAACATATATCTACAATGTGACTATAGTATTCATTATCATCTAAATAATGGCGTTATATCTAAAACATGTTAGTTTTTTGTGTCATAAGCAGCTTTGGCAGGTATACTGTGGTGACCTTATCATATAAATGGTAGAAGTATTTCTTGCGTTACGCTTGAGTATCAGATTCTGATTGGCTGAAACATGCTATTATTTCGAATGTACCCACAAACATGTAAGGTATACTTTTGTGTTTTCTGATCTAATTCTCGAACTGTTGGCAATTGGCATTTAATATCGGATTATGATTGGCTGAGACATTCTATTATTTTGAATGTACCCGTAAACATGTAAGGTATCTGATCTAATTCTCGAACTGTTGGCATTTTGACATTTTACCAACTGTACGTTTTGCACAAATTAATATTGTAAGGCTAAATAATAGCATTATATGTTTATCAGGCATATTTCTTTAGAGGAGGGAGGTGGGACTTTACTCTCTTTTTTTTGTTAAAAAACCCCCACTAATGTTATTTGTATTTCACTGAACGCGACTGTATCAAACAGAAAAGCATCAAACTGAATTTTGCCCAGTGTAGGTTAGAAACATCAATCAGGTAGGTCCACCTAAAAGCACATTGCTGGAAATGCTACAAGAGTCCCTGTCGTCACGAGAACTGACAGTTAGTGCCGTTGATGCTTTGATGGCATACCACCTGCCAAAGATGACAATGCCATCTTTGTTTTCGAATGTATCTACGTACAGTTTTGCTACAAAGTAAGCAATGTTCACAACTGTCCGTGTCTGTGACACATTGTTTTGGGTACAACATAAGATAGCTTGTTCAAAGCAATATTAATGCATACACAAATAGTAGTCCATGGATGAATGATTATTATTCCATCAGTAATCTTCATTGGCAAGTAGCACTTTTAGACACATGTAAAGCTCCATGCATTGACTTTGAGATGCTATTAAGAGTTCTTAACAAAAGCACTATGACAAATCCTGAAAGGCATAGAGCTCAGTGAAAACTCGCTTAAGCATACTAAAAATGGAGTGTAGTCATGAATGAGAATTGCGTGATATGATTGAAAACATATTTTTTAAATTGCTATAAAAATCTCTATATTTACAGTGATGGGACAGTGATTGAGAAAAATTATGAATTTGTTTTAGCCAATGGTGACATTCTATAAACATTTACTATATTTTCTAAATGAAATAGATCTAGAGTGGATATTTTGTCTGATATGTATGTGCGGCGCCTATGAATTTATGTGGCAATCCCACTGATTTGGACCAAAGCATTGCATGCATAAGACATACCAGTACATGCAATATGATTATATGTTTTGTAAGATTAGTTTGTTGTTCAACGGTACCTCTGGTGAAATGGGTTGATGTACCTCCTGGGTATGTAAGCTATAGTGTAGAAAGTACATCAGTCTGTGTGCCCTTTGAGACGTGTTGACAGCTGATATTGAAGTTGTTATAAGAATAGTAGTTATAGTTGTCAAATGCAAATGCAAATGCCAAATATACTTACAATGACTTGCAACCTATCTAGTTATTGAACAGGGGATTATTCAGATATATGTTTAGTGATTGAGGTAATCTTTTCTCTAAAGTCTGATTACTAACATAATACAAATTACAAAAATCAAATGGACAAAACAAAAGAAATAGACATGTATTTGTTGCATGGCAAAGAACAAAGTATTGGAATAAGCAATCTTTTTATTTGGCATGTGCTTGTGGCATCTGGGAACTGCTTACTACAGGTACATTTGTCTGTCTGAACCTTGTGCACAGAATTGCTTTGTGTGTTGTATTTGAGTCATCAGCCCTGATCTGTGATACTACGTTGTGTGTTGAGCATCAGCCCTGATCTGTGATACTACGTTGTGTGTTGGGCATCAGCCCTGATCTGTGAGACTACGTTGTGTATCAGGCATCAGCTCTGATCTGTGATGCTGTATTGTGTGTGGGGCATTAGCCCTGTTCTGTGGTAATGTGTTGTGTGGGGGGCATTAGCCCTGTTCTGTGATAATGTGTTGTATGGGGGGCATTAGCCCTGTTCTGTGATAATGTGTTGTATGGGAGGCATTAGCCCTGTTCTGTGATAATGTGTTGTGTGGGGGGCATTAGCCCAGTTCTGTGATAATGTGTTGTGTGGGGGGCATTAGCCCTGTTCTGTGATATTGTGTTGTGTGGGGGGCATTAGCCCTGTTCTGTGATAATGTGTTGTATGGGAGGCATCACTTCTGGAGCCCATTCCACAAAGCGATCGTAGCGCTACGCCTGTCCTAAGTCTATGTTAAAGTATGGGATTTAGTGCTACGATCGCTTTGTGGGAACGGGCCTGAGATCTGTGATAATGTAAGTCATCAACACCCATCTGTGATACTGTGTTTTGTGTGTGGCATTAGCCATGACCTGTGATACTGTGTTGTGTGAGGGGGGCATTTGCCATAATCTGTGATACTGTGTTGTTTGTGAGGCATCCAGCCTGATCTGTGATAATGTGTTGTGTGTGAATAGCAGTGTTCTGTGGATGTTGGTCCAGAAGTTTTTATCAGTCCTGGGTCTAGATTTTTTAAACTATCCTAGTTATGATTAACCTTGACAATTGGCATTCAAACAGGATATATTAGGTTTACATTAGTATACATATTCACAACTATCTGAAATTTCTAGCATATTGCACAATACTACAATACCTATCTTATCTCTGCCAGACAAGTCATTTGTGTTTGACATTGAAAAAGCAAAACAATTCCAAATGACATGGGGCTTTCCCAACTACAGACAATAACACTATTGTGATGATGGTTATCAGGTCACTTGGTGTATCACACATCTATTTGAGTAGCTATTCACTCAATTTTATATATATCCTTCATGATAACATTTTGTTCTTTGATAAAGACAAAGCAGAAAAAATATGTGATAAGATGAAGTAGTTTTATCTTTTAAAGTTAAGCCAGTATATTAATCGTTGAAATTACCCACTTGTTATAAGGATACATTCAACTCAACATTTTGTAATCTGCTATACATCTGTATGTTATGCTATCAACAGTCTTCCTGTGATTTTCACTTAGCTGCCTCAAAAATAACATTCAGTGTGTCATTTTACTACAATGACCAAGTGACTTTGTGAACACTGATAGTTGGTGTAAACTTCAAAAACGCAAAGCCATGGAAATATGCCAGGAACTATCTGCATTTACACCTGTCATCAGTCAAAACTTGTCAGTGGATATATTAGGGCAAATTAAAAATGGTAATTACTTCTGTATCTTGTCCCGTTATTGTCAAGTCATTCAAGGCCCTAGATGATGCTTTCTTTGTTGCATGCAGGTACCATCTTTGAAAATGTTATGATAGTATTTAAAATGCTACAATAATATATGAAGTGTTACAGTAGTATAGCTGGTATAAATAAACTAATGTTTACAAATATGATGTACTATTTAATGAAGTTACCTTTGATTATACTGCAAACATTCAAAATAGGTGTTGAAGTATTGTGCTGATATACTTTCATTATTCTAGAAATATGGACCTTTGAATGAAAAAGTAACCGTTGTTTGAAACATGTATATTATAAATTGTGCACACTTGTGGTATTCTTAAGGACAGTTTACTATGTAGTATTAGATGAGTGTGGGAACCCCACCCGTGTGTTTCCTTTATATATTGCCATACCAGAAAGTACATGTGAAAAACAAGTAGAGAAATATTTGTTAATTTTCATTTCTGCTTAGGATCTGTCTATATATTTTGCTGACAGAATTCAAATAAATTGCTCTGTTGCATGAAATTGATCTATTGATCCGGTCTTGTTTGAAATATGTATTCTTTTTGGTTAAAATGTCTGTTTTATAAACTCGGATAATCTTTACTGTTTAAGAAACAAACAATACACAATTACCATTTATGAAAATAATTATACACAATTATCAAAATTATATTATGGCCTACTCAATTTTCAGTTTGAAAAACTGATGAGATTTACATTTTGTCTTATATGTAATTGTAGATTTCTAAAAATAATTGTGAAAATAGTGACAAAAGCATTGGCGACAGATAAGTGATCCCGACAAGATACAGCAGCCAGAGCTTTATATTTATGTTAACCTTAACATTGAACAAAGTGCTCATCAGGCAGTTGCAGATGTTCAAAGGGAAACCACCAGAGATAAACTGCCCCTGAGGGCCACTACTATAGTCTGCAGAAAACTTCTGTTTTCATTCTTCCCAAATGTTCTAAACCAGCCAACAGTGTTTGCTCATGTTAAATCTGTGATGCATTTTTGTGTTTTGTTTAAGGGTCAGTTTGAATTGTTAAAACACACCCCAATATTGATGGAATATTGCTAAAAGCAGCATAAAACTATACTCACTCACTACTAGATATAGTATATAATATGAAGACAGGCTATCACAGGGCATGATATCTTTACAATAGTTTATGATAATCTTAGCCCTAACATCAGTTTGAACATCTAGACCCAGAGGTGTCATCATATCTGTAAACACAGGCTCCAATTTGACTTGTACTTCGTGCTGACCGTGTGTCAATTTGTACGATGTGAGTGTTGAAAGTATGAATGTTGACAATGAGATGTTAGTAAGTCTGATGCTGTAGCACACTTGTATCATCCAACACTGTTGATGTAGTTGCCAACTTCACAAGTTGACATGCATGTAGTCAGCTTTAGATCATATTTCACATGTATGTGTCTATGATGTCAGTGTTCCACATATGCCTGGTAGACTAACAATATTGCTTTCTTCTGGGTAAAATGATAATACACCGACTACAGAGGTGGGCTAAGTACTAATAATGTAATCAAGGGCTTTAATTCCTCCAAAACACTTAGAAGGTTATTGTGTAGCTTTAAAAGTTAGACATACATATAATCTAATCTTAAAAATGAATGAAGCTGTGTTGAATAGTTATTGTGTTTTAATATTTGTTTACAATATTCATTTATCAGATTCCGCCATGCTGCCGTCAGTGCCATGATGGGTGGGAGGAAAATGCGCCCAATAACAACTCCACGCCATCCCAAACTGGCAGATGTTGTAACAAAAGTGAAAACTCTCAATGATGCAGTCAAACAAGGCAAAGCCCCAGAAGGTGATTGTTGGCAATCTTTTCACGTGTGAACCATTTTGCATGGTCATTATTTTGTTATTTTCCCAGAGACAAATGGTATGAGGACATTTTCATGTTGTTTCTTATCATCTTGTGATATGACATTTGTATGTGTCGTTACCAAATTTGAATAATACATTTAGTACATTTAGGATATGTAATGATTCACTGACCCTGAAAATGAACCAGTTTTGAAGTCTTCAAGAGGTCAAAACAAAAGATTGTACTTGTATGATGGGGAAACATTTAAAAAGACAATATTATTGGAGTGAAATTTCCTGTTGAACATCACCTCCTTGTTAATAACCAGGCCATGTTTACATTTGTTGCAGGAGAACTTGCAGGGAAGTTCACATTTGCATCAGATAGATATGCTGTCCTGGAGAGTGCTGGCAATCTGGAGATCGATGTTTTGTTCCACAGGCAGATTCCGTATGTACATACAAAATACTTCTTAGAATGCATATCACTGATATGGAGCGTTTGAATAATATTGTTTTCTAATGTTGAAAATAAGAAACTCAAGAAGGGCTATAAATTCAAATGCTATAGCAACAGTTCTGGGTGATCTCGAAAAACCTCCCAAAGATTTTGTCACAGCTGATAATCATACCCTTCGGCAAATATTCTCAACTAAATTCAAAACTTGACACGTATCTCATTATTATGAAAATATCATTACGGTAACAATACCAATGATGTGAAGTTGGTTGCAAAATTATTATATTGGAAAACGAATGCATAATGTTCCATGAACCTTATGTTGCTAAAACTGTTAGAAAAAAAGAAGTCAATAGAAATTGTGACCTCCTAGGGTGGCAACACAACATGCTCTCAAGGACATGAGAACCTTTCTAACACTCTAACTGAAATTGCTTTCAAAAGTTCTTGAAAGGTCTGGGCTTGATTCATCTGTTGTCACATTTGTGTGGGTTGCTCATCCAAAATGTGTTTGATCTGGTTCAAATCAGGGCAACGGGAAGACCAGTTCATGACATCATCACTGGTGTTAAAGAATGAATAAACGTTTTGTTATTTTTCCTTATCCTGACTCATGCGAAAGCAGTAACCCTAGCGTTACGCAGATCTACTCGCAATTTGTGTGACGACAAATGGCAGAAATTTGAGCAATATGCAAGGCGGAAGGGCTTCACAGCTATGAAAGCGTCTCATCCTCAAGTGGCGGAATATCTATGTCACCTTAGATATACAAGACATCTGAAAGGTTCGACATTATCCACATATCTGGCAGCCATTAGTACAGCCAACAAAGCAGCAGGATTAGAGCCTCCAAGAGCCTCCAACCCACACGAAGTCAGAGCACTGGCGTCAACACTGGCTCTGCATGGAAATTGCTCTATATCATCGATCATGGAGGGCTGCTTCTGGAAGTCAGCTACAGTGTTTGCCAACCACTACCTCCGAGACATAACCACCGAAGACGTCTCCGGCATTCACCAGTTTGGGCCTCTTGTTGTAGCACAACAACTAACGGTTCCTCAAAGGTGCTGAGTTGAAATCTCACCCTTTACCACGTTGACTTATTGATAACTTATCTATGGAAAAAGTTCTAGTTTGAAAGTCCATGCGCACAGTCTAGACTAGGCTAGCATGAGTGATTAAGACTTGGAAGTTGGAAGAATAGGATCCAGTTATCTATGGACAGCTGTTGAATCCAGGAAGTGGCTTGACCCACCACCAATCCGTAGGATTCTATAAGCAAAAGATCATGAGTCAGGATAAGGAAAAATATGTAATTTTTTAAGTAAAATTGATATTTTATACTTATCCTGACTCATGAGGAGAAGCCCTCCCAACCTCCACGCTGGAAACACTTCGGATTTCATAGCAGATCCAGATGCATGGGCAGAAAAATCAGGAGAGAGTGATAAGTAAGGCTGGTCACATGACTGTTTGCGCGGGAAAAGGGAGGTATCTAGTGTGTGAGTGTATTTTTATGTCCGCTTAGGGAACTACAAAGGATTCAAGTGTTCCACTACAATTCGCAAGGGAAAGGGAGATAAGCAAAAGATCATGAGTCAGGATAAGTATTAAATATCAATTTTACTTAAAAAATTACATTTTTGTACTTTTTTAGCCATTACATATGAAAGAATTGTGGTTAGTCTAAAGCGGAACACTAAATTCATTTTTAAAAACTTGTGGTTAATTAATACCGAGCTATTAAAAGTTGCCAAAAAGTTGTCTGCTTCACTCTTGCCTGCCAATGAAACCACATACAGGTTATGTAACTCTGTCACCAGAGCACTGCAGCGAACCGGAAGTGACTTATGTGAGGAGGATTTTCAGTTAGTTGTATATAAAGTGTGTAACAAGCTCGTTATTTTGCTGATTTCTCGATGTCAATGAAGACATGCCGAATCGTTATGTTGCCGTCAATTGCTCCCAGGCGTCGGGTGATGGTGTCAACATGCACAGATTTCCCCTCGATCCCGCAGTTTGTGCTATATGGGTTATGTTTGTGAGTGCGATGCGAGTGTTGTGGAAGCCTGTAGTGTATAATAAATCGGATGGCTCGACCCCTACCTAGATAGAAAATGCTATTTAGATTTGTTTTCATCGTGTTTAAATTCAAAAGTACTTACTAGTTGTAGTAAATGATTGCAGGGCTCCAGATAAGGGCCGTATCGGTGTATGTGCGGATGATAACTATGCACGATATGGTAGGAAATAATTTAGAAAACGTAGCAGATACGCACTACAGCAATGGTGTATGGTCTTAGAATCATTTACAGACGTATTTATCTGAAAAAAAGTATTGTTTCTTTACCTGATTACACAATAGTAGCAATGTTGTGGTGCATATATGAAACGAAACACAAGATCACACACTCCATTAAATTCCATTCAGCACTCTAAATGTACTCTTAAGTTTTTCCAGTACTCCTATATTTAAAAAATGAAGAGTACTTACTCCTGATGTTGAAAAATTATCTGGAGCCCTGTGATTGATGACCAAAAGGATTTTGCATGACACAACTTGTAACATAACGATTTCTTCCTCGGAAGTGAGGTTGTGGTTGAAGTGACAATAATATTGTAAGTAGTATTATATTGACACCCACCTGGCTTCCAAGAGAGAAGCTATGTCATGCACAATCCTATTGGCCATCAATCAAATACATATTTTACTACTAGTAGAAAGTAGTTTTGATTTTGTAACTTGGTGAAAACGAACCTAAATAGCATTTATTCTCTGACTGGCAGATGTTTGCGACAGGTAGCCATTTTTAAAAATCGTGACGTCACGGGCTAAAGTCAGTTCGAGAATCAATTAGATTGTGGTTTGTTTTCATCAAGTTTGAAAATCAAAACTACTTTCTACTCATAGTTAAATATGTATTTGAATCATGACCAAAAGGATTTGTAATGACACAACTTGTAACACAACAATTTCTTCCAAGGAAGTGGGGCGGGGGACGAAGTGACAATATTGTGTGATAAATGTCTTGCTACATTCATGTGGTTAACGTCCACTCACCTGTATGTAGATACTAGTCGATCTTCTTCCTGTAAACATGATGAGCGAGACTGATCATCGTCAGCCTAGCGATTGTTTCTTCATTGGTTTCCGATAAACAGTCACTGCTTGAGGACTGGCAATCCATGGAAAGGAAAAGCTTGTCGCTGTCTGAATTACTTCCGGACATGTCAGAGTCTGCTTTGTAACGAAATGCCAACCCGCTGAATTAACCATATTTAAATCACTTGACATAAATGGTTTAACACCCGAGTAAATTGGGGAACAAAAGCCAGACCTAGCCAACAGGTAACCCTTATGACAAGCGATTTTGACAGAATCATGTATGAAAACAAGTTGTATTTCGGAAGCTAGGCAAAGCAGGTGACAAGATTAAATGACAGTAGATTGTGAAAACATAAAGCATTCATTTTCCACAGCAGTTGTCACGATTTCAGGTTTCGACAAACCTGTAAACAAGATAATTTACCCCCAGAAATGTACATGAATTCTACAACGCCCCTCATAGGCATACCTCACCTCACATTACGTCACGGAGACACGCCACTCTGATTGGTTGAAATTTCGTTCGCAGGAGAGAATTGTGCACTGTTGTCAAAAAAGGTCGATTTAAATTAATTAAATGTTGAAATGAGTAGTTTTAATGATGGGGTTTCATTTATAATGATGCCAATAAATGATTTATGTATTTGTACCCCCCTAGAGTATATGTGATATCTAAGTAAGAAGTTGAGCATCAGAGCTGCATAATGGGGCATAACATTGTTAAGTTGAAATATCATGGAGAATCTAGCTGCATGAATGGCTGCCTCTGTTCCACTGCCTCTGAATGACTCTGGCAAGTCTGCAGACCCATCGTAAATGTTGAGAACAATGAAAATGTGTCAGGAAAGGTCCTGTGTGTATGGTCGTCTAGCTCAGATGTATATTGTGTGCAATGGATTCCTGATGGTCTGTGCTGATGTTCTACTTCTGAGCAACATTCTGCTAGTGCAGGTTGCAGTCACGAATCAGATGCGGAAATGGCGCGTAACCTGATTTTACGTCATCTTGGAGTGATGTCACATGCACCAAACCAGGCATCTGCAACAAATTTTGTCGCTTGCAAATGGGTCCTCAGACAGTGTTTTGTCCAACTGGTGCAGCCAAGGGCTTGTGCAACTGTTGCTACTGATTGCCCAGCTTTAAGCCTACCCATGGCATGTTCATCTTGAATTTTGAGTTTTGACATACTCGTCTTTCTATTAAACTTGATGCATGTGTGATCGCTAAAGTGATCACTTGACTCGCTGCACGTGATTGTTGTGTTCCATGCCTTTTTCACGCTTCATGATGTATTCTTTTGCATCTCTTGCAAAGACCATGTTCAGACAGTTTACATGTCATAGCTGTTTTTATGTATGGAGCAACAAGAGACTAAAAAGAATCACAACCTCCAACCCCTTCCACTTCTGCGTTTGCCCAGATCAATGTTAATTCGTTTTTTGTGGAGTTTTATGACACTACAGGAAAGAGTAGTTTGAGATCAGTTACAAGCAGTGAAGTTTGCTCTTTTTTATATACCATCTATATCTGATTGATATATTAGTTCAAGCTAAGACATGACAACAGTCACTTTACAGATGTATCTTACACGTGTTGGTTTTCTGCTTATACATATGAAATTAGGAAGAGGAGGAACTGGATCATGGTTTGTTTAATGCCACAGTCAGCAATATTCCAGCTATATGATGGCAACAGTGGTATGAGAATATTTGCTTCTGACTGAGACAATCCAGTTATTGATGTTGTGAGGAAAGATCCAAGCCACTCTGGGAGCATGACATGCTGCCATTAACAAAGTCCCTGATCCCGACCAACCGATACATTTGCTTTCCTCTTAAGACAAGAATAGCTTGCAAGGTGTTAATTTCTATCTGGAATTCCCAAAGCATTAATCATGATAATTAAGGTTGTTTTGTAGATTTAGAAATAACCATTTGGTATATCAATAAGTATTCTACACTTTGAACAAACACAATTGACATTGTTGTTTGTCTGCCTGTAAACACATCAACAGTATTAATATGTATGATTGCATTTTTGAAAGTGGTAAAGTGGAAATTATTTAAAGTATATCCATAACATGAAAACTGTAAACACTTGGCCATGCATTCTAAATAAACATGTACTTTCCTTTCTTGTTCCACAGAATGGACAGGTACTAATTTTTGTTTCAATAGTTCTCTTTCAATATAGATAGTTGAGTGTATATACATGAATTGAAATTCTAGATCTAATGGTTTTCTATTCTTAGTACATATCTATCTTGCCTAAAAAATTGTTTCCTGTCTGTGTTTTTTCATGTCTTTTCTCACTCACTGCTTGTAGTTTACTGAAGAAATGGAGTCACCTGTTACCATAGAACCTTCATGAGCATTTGTTCGGTTTGAGTAAATTATACCACAGAGCTCTTATGTCCCTGTGTATTGATAATTCAAAAGGTTATATGACCCTATAACAGTGCCAGAATTTCTACTAAATCTTAGAAGGGCCTTTTGCACACTCCTATAGAAGGATATCATTCTGCATTGGCATTTGTCCTCACCAAACAAGGGATTCATATTTGAAAGTATTGGGTCCTTCCCAAAATACTCTGTCCCTTTGAGTTAGAGACAGTGCATATCTATGAAATGGCTTATAACATCATCTTTTTTTAACCTATGGAGAAAGCATCTTTATCACACCTATCAATATCATGAAAGACTGCCATCCTTATGGAATTAGCTATTCCTTCAAGGATTTCAAAACTGCTTGCTTTGGATTTACACTCGGTAGCATTAACCCCCTGGATGCCGCAGGGACATATATGTCCTTCCCCTTCAACCCTCAATATCAAGTCCAATAAAAATCAAAATATCCCACGCACACAAATACACTTCACAGTTTCGAATTCTGCAGGAAATTTCCTGTTTCTTGATACCATCCACTATTATTTTAGACAAAGCTCAAGTGCTGAAAATGACCTTTCAAAATTGGCTTCATCGAAAATGTTGCCATTTTTTGACACAGTACGAAATCGCGATTCACAGCGTTATTTGCTGTATGTTTTGAAATGTGAAAATCGGATAATTACTGGGAGTATTGAATTTCAAAAATAACATATTCATGATCACTGATATCAGTTTTACATGAAATCGCTAATTATAATTCTGAAACGTTGCCGATGAATCTAGAATCGGTTGGGATGTTTTCGAAAATGCACTTACGAACACCGTGAGAGCTTTCCACCATATTGGATAGTGTTTACAAAATCACGTTTAGCGAAAGCCGGTATTGAGGCGCCTATTACATCAATGCATATTTCATATTCAGCTTCAAAAATGCATCACTGAATTCCCCATACATTTTAGAATCAAATTGCAACTGGTCTGTGTCACCAATAACAACTGTCTAGATAAAATGAGATCGAAACATATTGGGTGTGAAAAGCGAGCGCTGTGCTTGAAAGACTGCGTTTGTTCTGAAATGTAAACAAAGACAAATTCGATTTTACACTGCGTAGCATTTTCTGAAATTTTTCAACATTCATCCGTCTATTCATTGCTTGCAATGGCTCAATACCTTTGGAATATGCATGGAAAGAGTATCGTAGCAAGAAATAGGAAATTATAAATAGATACAATGCAATGATTTGATAATTCATAAGAAATTGTCAAAGTTTCCGTGCAGCGTGGCCATGATGACTGGCGCAAAATCACATAGAGCGACAGCGGTAATTATCTGCATTTCTGGCCTTTTCTCTTACTTATAGTGAAAGCGATAAAACATATAACAATACACAGATAGTCAGAATCATTCTGATTACTTACATCTTATATTTATGTACAAACGATCCCTGAATCAATGGAAGGGTCCTCGCAAAATCCTGTGTACCCATGTCAGCAAAGCCGCCATTTTGTAAGAAATCGGTCAGCGGTAGTGATGTCATACGTCAACATTGTTGTACATATTAGGCACTTTCTTTGAGGTGAAGGTCGGTTGAACAAGAGTAAACACAATCGCCCAATCCTTCCGATTACACTGTCAGTATTATGGTGTATATTTTGCGTATAGTTAAGATATTTTTTACATAAGAAATTGACATATTTAGTGCAATACACCATATTCTAAACCTTTACACAAGTGTTAGAAGATCAAACGTAGCCATAACTGCGACTACTTTAGTTCCTATGATGTACAATATTCAATTTATTTGGACTAATATTGCAATTTCATATGAACAGGTTAATGAACGGTGATTTAATTTAACCTGATATGTAAAACTGATAATATTAATGACAATGATTTATATATGGTATGAAATGTATATGCACACATATTTAAAGGAATTGTCTTGTTCACTGCATAATTTTGTGTCGTTTTATAGACAAAAGAATGATGCATATTGATCGGCAAGGTGCGCGTTTGTTGGAAACGTTTTATGATTCTCTATCATTGTTTTCAATAATATATTCAATTCATATTCGATTATATAATATTGTGATGACAGGATATCAAACTCTAACTACATTTATAGGAAAATTGTTGAAAAATATATATACCATCTCATGTGTTAATTCGGACAAATCTTACATCCATATTCTAATATATAGTTCCATATATAAAAAGCTATCTTTTTGCATCTTTCATTGCATACGTATGAAGAGAAATAGCTACATAATCATAAACAAACAAAATTCTTATCCAAAACAAAATATTCGGGTGTTGTGAAATATTATTTTTGTTTACGTTAAATTGATGCCAAACAGGTGCGCGTGTTGTTCACAATAAGATACGCTGTTGATATATTCAGGACACTATTTAAATGGAAAAATCAGTCATTTTATGTTTTGTCTAAAGAGTGTTAAATTCTGACGTAGAAGCCGAGATCTTTTATACAATTAATGAAAATTAGGTGAGATATATACTAATCAGCAAACCAATGTCGTCTTTTTCCGACGTCGCAAAATGCATAAAACAAGCAATGACGTCAACTAAAATGTTGTATTATTTTCAGCAATTTCGTTACATTTGAAGATATGGCTAGTACTCTGGTAATAACGATGCAAAATTAGTCAAATTACATCTACACAAACAGGAGAATATGGGAATCTAAGAACTAACTTATCTATCGGATAGGGCCATTCAAATCGCTATTACGTGCTTTCACATGTAATACGTTGTCATCTTTTCTTATAAATTGTGAAACTACCAAAGCATCCGTTCACATTGGGAACTTTGAATTGGAATAGTTTGGTTCACCATGAACATAAAATAACGAAAATATAAGCGTCTGTATCCACAACAAATTCTTTCCAAGTGATCTGAGTTACATTGACCTAGTGTTACGCATAACAGAGTTATGCCCCTTATCATTATCGTGTATGACCTCTCTGTATGCCGTTTGGCGTCATAGAAGAAAATCCATTTTTACATTTATTGCGAGTCATTTTTAATGTTGGCGTATAACGATTATGCACAAGCACATAAACCCAATTCATATACATTTATGTCGTTCAGATATCAGGCTGCATTTTCTTCGCTGACACTTTCCGTAAAGATGCCACATTAAAAATTAAGCAGCACAGTGCTTTTATCGGTCTTGCGATAAAAAGCGGATAAATTTACTGTTTTTAAACGCATAACAAAAAATTGGACAACATTTAGCAGTGTCTATTTCTCAAACCGCCAAGGTAGTTGCACTTATATTTATACCAAAGGATAGGAAATTTAATATTCTACAATTCTGTGTAATTTTATAGCCGTACGTATATCCAGGACCACGTGAGCGCAATTCTCGCAAAACGTTTTCTTTTCAAACCGTATGAAAATGTGCGCCTGAAAAAAAACTCGGCAGCCAGGGGGTTAAGACCCATCTAGAGTTGTAATTAGAGCACTGCTGAAGTTCTATACCAAGACTCAAAAGACATCAATGGGACCATTGGACAGTGCCCAGTAAGAGCTCTGAAATTGGTATTTACATAGCTTAATTGGCAATAATACTTCTCCAAGCCCTATTCACTTCTGACTATATTTTCTTCTTCTTTTGAAAAATGAATATATCATCAACATATAATAGAAAACTGTATTTTAGTAGCTTCTATATGTTTCCTGTTGTCTCTGCTGTACCTGTGCTGTAGCTGATACAATACATATTCTATGGTGTAATCCTTGTTATTATGTTTCAAAAAAGTTAACAAAGGTAAATTGCAGAGGATCATACTACTTAAGATTTTTTTCTTTTCCAGATTGGACAACATTTGTCTTGAAATATGTATACTGAACTGTCAATAATAACAACAGAAAGTGGTATAATTCAGGATGAACAGCTTTATAGCTGATAACATCTTGCCTTGTCTCCTTGTTGATCATACACTTACGTGGCCTCATGCGATCAGATAAAGAAATTCTATAGAGAGGTTTTAGAGGAAAGATGCTGACATGTGCATGTGGTGATCCCCAAGGCAATGCCTTCACAGCTATGTTGTGGCTAAGCAGTGCCACTGAAGGGAGGTGACTGGATGTCATGCAAATAATTATACACCTGTCTCTATCACTTCTCATTTTTGTCTACTTCTGTTTCAGCCCAAGGGGTCCTGTTGACATTGTTGTAAGTAGTTCATTATTACTGATAATTTCCATATATTTCTAATAATTTCCATGTAATGGTTCATATATGATTATTATAACAATAAAGTTTGACGATGAGTGAATTAAGATATTAAGAATTAATAACCAATTTAGTTTTTCCACCCTTAAATACATAAAACTCAATGAGAATATAATTCATTTCATTATTAGATATAGCAAACAAAAACCAATACATCTGACATGTAAGTCAGGAACACACATCACATACATCATACACTTGCATAAATGTATAAATGCATTTCTAACCTTCTTAATAATGTTACACTTATTACAGATTTAGTTCCTAGAGGATATGAATATGATTGCCAAATCTGCTGTCTTAGTGCTGTAACAAAAAATATCCAATCAATAAACCTAATAGTGTGTCTTTACATTTGAAGATCAACAAATTTTGCACATGCAGGATATGATAAACTTCTAAAGAATGTTTCAATAATTACCTGTACTCAAGAATCAGCCATCACACATTTCTCACACATCATAGAAAAAACATGCATATAATTTAGCTAACATTTGTTCATATATTCTTATTTATGAAGAGCTATAATTTTATGTGTATTTGTGCATTTAGGTGTAAACAAAACTCAAAATAAAATAGCTTCAGAATGAGTCACCTTGCTGTCAGCAACTCTCTATATTTGATGTAACTATGAGTGAGACAGGAATAAAATGATCTGTCTGTCTGTCAGCTGTTTGTGCTTGTAAGCATAGTGACACATGAGGGTCAAAAATCATAAAAGCTAATGCTCAAGAGAATAAAAGGATCAGCCATTCAACCAGAACATTTTAGCCTAACTGAAACAATTTGGTTGGTAAGGTAGTGACTGACTCAAGCATATCTAACTGTAGACTATATTACCTGTTCATTAAAATCCTTAAAACCTTACTGCAAACTAATACTAAGAACTAGAAGCCAATATTGATACTTATATGGCAGCAATATGTTGGTATACTTTGTCTATTATATACTAATTACTAAATGCTAATGTTAACACAAGCACTGATAGCTATTTGCTAATATAAAGAGTAATGCTAACTGTATTATATACAGTGTTCACGAATGGTGTTTCAAAGTAACAGGACATTGGGTCCTGTCAGTTTCAGATGTCTGTCTGACCCACGGAAAATTCACAGGACACATCAAATAAAAATTAAACACACATTTCAGATTTAACATTTCTTATAATTGGCATTGAAATTATTAACAAACATAAAAATTTATAAACAGCGAACAAGTGTGACGTGTCACATATGACAACAAGTCAAAGTCATTGTGAAATATACAGTCGGACACTGGGGCCAGTGGGTTATAGACTTGCATCGGACCGTCGGTGAATCTGCCGTATTTGTCCAAGGGTCCGATGCTATTCATGAACACTGATATACTGTATACTATATATACTTAGTACACCGTTTATAAAAATACTGACTTTAAAACTAATACTAACTATACTGAATGCACTCTCTTGTTTAGGTGACACAATCACAATGAACCTTTGACTGTCACATGAACTTAATGACACACTTAGCATTTCTTGTAAACTAGACATGTATCTGCATTCTACAATGACAAATAGAAGATCTTAGAATTGGTCTTCAGCAACCCCTGTGTGTCATAAGAGGCGACTAACATTATCGGGTGGTCAAGCTTGCTGACTTGGTTGACATGTGTCATTGAATCCCAATTACACGGGTTGGTGCTCATGATGTTGATCACTGGATTGTCTGGTCCAAACTCAATTATTTACAAACTACTGTCATACAGCTTGAATATTACAAACCAGACAAAGTATTTGTTGTCACTTTCAAATGTCTGCATTATACATTGATAAAGGGAAGAACTATGAACACTCCCTGGTATGTGCTACTTTCTTGTGCAGAATCAAGAGAAGGTTGTTTTCAAGAATGGTAGTGCCACAAGCCAGGGCGTGCCTTCATCAAAGGACACAGAGTCTTCTATTCACATTGGAGTTGTGTCGGTTGACTATGAAACCAGGGAGGGATCGGCCAAGCCTGGCAAAGACTTCACGTACACTCAAGGAAAATTGGTACATACAATACATATAGTTAATAGTCAGTGAAAGTGGGCTACATCTTGTGACACTTTAAATATATTACATGACGTGCTTCTTTATCAGCATGACACAAATCATGAAAGGAATACTTGCTCTTTAGGAATAGGATTTGTATATGACATGCTGAAGATGTCAAAATGTTTGTAGTTAAATACAGATTCCATCTCTTTATCTGGTCCAGAAACTTACCAACATTACAAGTGTCCTGGGCCCTTATTCTCGAAACGTTCGTAGTCCTAAGAATTCTTAACTTTGATCGTAGCCAGTGTGTTAAGAATGGACTTAAAAAGTTTGTAGGGCTACGAACGTTTCGAGAATAGCTAGCCAGGTTTTATGTCCTGTATGACAGTGTCATATTGTGGCCATCTTGATATTACCAGTTTTATTCAAATGCGAGGTCTTGCTACAGCCTGTATATGTTTTTATAAAATATCATAATATATTAAACAGTATCATTGATTCTTGGGCTATAGTGGAGAATATGCTGTGTGAATGTATAGTGACAAGTACAAGTATTTATTCATGAATACTTTATGTTTAATATGAAGGAAATAAATAGCAAACATGTCATGTTATTGGTTATGTAACTTCTGTAAAGCAAAAAAGCAATAAGTCGCGAACAATGCCACTTACAGCCTGATGGTGCTTTTGGGGCACTGATAAAATGATAGAAGTTACGCTGCTTCATGATATATTCTATCTTGCCTATCTCAGTTAACTTAGTAGTTCCAAGTAAAAAGCACTCTCTTTTTAAAATTTTGTTAATATTCGATTCTAGTGACCATGAATAATGAATCAAATTTAGAAGGGTAATATGGTTCTATTTACAAAATACACAAGTGAATCGTAACAGGACTAACTGATACTTTCTCAATGATTGACATTTTTCATTTGAAATTAATTTAGCCTCATAAACTGTTTACTTTTGTTAAATTTACTCTAGTTTTGCTGAAAGTACTATTGTTATTTAGTAGATTGACAATAAAGTTATTCTTCTTTTCAAACAGACATTCAAAGAAAATGAATACCGGAAGACGTTTTCTATCCCAATAGTGAACGACAACCAGTATGAAGCTGATGTTGATTTCTATTTGATACTGAAGAATCCTCAAGGTCAGAGTGGACTGGGTGATCCGAGTGTGGCCAGGGTCACAATTGTGGATGATGACGGTAAGCACTTGTGGATCAGAGGTATCTCTGAATTGGAAAGGATAATGGTTCATTGAATAGGGTAAATGAGTTAAAGCTACTCAAAACTTCTCTATGTTGTTGTTTTCCTTAGATTGGAACTATTCCTATTTGCATTCAGCAATACTGATTGTGATTTGTTACAATGTTATGAGGTGTGAGGTCAATAAAACTGCTGACTTCAGAGTCCACACATATGGCTTGTCGAAATTGGGTTCGTGTGACGCATACCTGTGAGAACATTCCATTGTCATTCCGAATTTTGTACCCAAGTCATGATGAAAAGGATGTGAAGAATAGTGTGAACACGTTTATTATTTGGACTAATATTTGTATTTTCTAAATAGATTTCAAACTTTCAAAATCCCCGTTTTTGATTTTGGATGCCAACAGGCAGGAGGTATGGTGAGAAGTGTACAGTCCTAACTTGTATGTTCCTGTGTTCGTTATATATCCATGAGGAGACAAGCATAAGGTACAAGGGACCCACACTGGCCTTGATATCTCCACGAGGAGATTGCCATAAGGTACAAGGGACTCACACTGACCTTGATATCTCCATGAGGAGATGGGCATAAGGTACAAGGGACCCACACTGGCCTTGATATCTCCATGAGGAGATGTGCATAAGGTACAAGGGACCCACACTGGCCTTGATATCTCCACGAGGAGATTGCCATAAGGTACAAGGGACTCACACTGACCTTGATATCTCCATGAGGAGATGGGCATAAGGTACAAGGGACCCACACTGGCCTTGATATCTCCACGAGGAGATGTGCATAAGGTACAAGGGACCCACACTGGCCTTGATATCTCCATGAGGAGATGACCATAAGGTACAAGGGACCCACACTGGCCTTGATATCTCCATGAGGAGATGGGCATAAGGTACAAGGGACTCACACTGGCCTTGATATCTCCATGAAGAGATGGGCATAAGGGACCCACACTGGCCTTGATATCTCCATGAGGAGATGACCATAAGGTACAAGGGACCCACACTGGCCTTGATATCTCCATGAGGAGATGGGCATAAGGTACAAGGGACTCACACTGGCCTTGATATCTCCATGAGGAGATGGGCATAAGGGGACCCACACTGACCTTGATATCTCCACAGAGATGGGCATGGTACAAGGCACACTGGCCTTGATATCTCCATGGTGACAAAGGGACCCACACTGGCCTTGATATCTCCATGAGGAGATGGGCATAAGGTACAAGGGACCCACACTGGCCTTGATATCTCCATGAGGAGATGGGCATAAGGTACAAGGGACCCACATTGGCCTTGATATCTCCATGAGGAGATGGGCATAAGGTACAAGGGACCCACACTGGCCTTGATATCTCCATGAGGAGATGGGCATAAGGTACAAGGGGACCCACACTGGCCTTGATATCTCCACGAGGAGATGGGCATAAGGTACAAGGGACTCACACTGGCCTTGATATCTCCATGAGGAGATGGGCATAAGGTACCAGGGACTACTGGCCTTGATATCTCCATGGGAGATGGGCATAAGGTACAAGGGACCCACACTGGCCTTGATATCTCCATGAGGAGATGGGCATAAGGTACAAGGGACTCACACTGGCCTTGATATCTCCATGAGGAGATGGGCATAAGGTACAAGGGACCCACACTGGCCTTGATATCTCCATGAGGAGATGGGCATAAGGTACAAGGGACCCACACTGGCCTTGATATCTCCATGAGGAGATGGGCATAAGGTACAAGGGACCCACACTGGCCTTGATATCTCCATGAGGAGATGGGCATAAGGTACAAGGGACCCACACTGGCCTTGATATCTCCACGAGGGAGATGGGCATAAGGTACAAAGGACCCACACTGGCCTTGATATCTCCATGAGAGATGGGCATAAGGTACAAGGGACCCACACTGGCCTTGATATCTCCATGAGGAGATGGGCATAAGGTACAAGGGACCCACACTGGCCTTGATATCTCCATGAGGAGGAGATGGGACCCACACTGGCCTTGATAAGGGAGATACAAAGGGGGACCCACACTGGCCTTGATATCTCCATGAGGAGATGGGCATAAGGTACAAAGGGACCCACACTGGCCTTGATATCTCCATGAGGAGATGCAAAGGGACCCACACTGGCTTGATATCTCCATGAGGAGATGGGCATAAGGTACAAGGGGACCCACACTGGCCTTGATATCTCCATGAGGAGATGGGCATAAGGTACAAAGGGACTGAGGCCTTGATATCTCCATGAGGAGATGGGCATAAGGTACAAGGGACCCACACTGGCCTTGATATCTCCATGAGGAGATGGGCATAAGGTACAAAGGGACCCACACTGGCCTTGATATCTCCATGAGGAGATGGGCATAAGGTACAAGGGACCCACACTGGCCTTGATATCTCCATGAGGAGATGGGCATAAGGTACAAGGGACTCACACTGGCCTTGATATCTCCATGAGGAGATGGGCATAAGGTACAAGGGACTCACACTGGCCTTGATATCTCCATGAGGAGATGGGCATAAGGTACAAGGGACCCACACTGGCCTTGATATCTCCATGAGGAGATGGGCATAAGGTACAAGGGGACCCACACTGGCCTTGATATCTCCATGAGGAGATGGGCATAAGGTACAAGGGACCCACACTGGCCTTGATATCTCCATGAGGAGATGGGCATAAGGTACAAGGGACCCACACTGGCCTTGATATCTCCATGAGGAGATGGGCATAAGGTACAAGGAACCCACACTGACCTTGATATTGCCATGAGGAGATGGGCATAAGGTACAAGGGACCCACACTGGCCTTGATATCTCCATGAGGAGATGGGCATAAGGTACAAGGGACTCATACTGGCCTTGATATCTCCATGAGGAGATGGGCATAAGGTACAAGGGACCCACACTGACCTTATATCTCCATGGGGAGAAAAGCATAAGGTACATGTGACCTACTCTGGCCATGGAGAGAAAAGCATAAGGTACAAAGGACTTATTCTGGCCTTGATATCTCCATGGGGAGACGAGCAGAAGGTATGTGACCTTCTCTGGCCTTAATATCTACTTGGGGTGACGAGCATAAGGTACAAGGGCCCCACACTAGCCTTATATCTCTATGGGAAGATGAGCCTGAGATACAAGGGACCTACTGTGCTTTTGTAGCTTTGGCAGACAAACATTGCACTTTAAGGATCAGCTCTGCCTTGCTTCTCCAATGGATATTTCTTGAGAAGAGAGTAAATTTGCAAATACTGTAAAACATGTTTAAAATGAACTTCAAGGGATTTGACTGACTTTTTCATTACATCCAATACTTTATTTCTTGTGAAACCTCTACACTGGATTCTACCAGTGTTAATCAACATCCACTGTCGTTCGTGCAAACACGTGGATTTGATGTACATATTCCTATGAATACTAGACCTTTGTAACATCTGTCTCATCACAAAGGTGGAAGATGACTAAATTAATATCCATGATGCTTGAGAATCCATGAGTTTTGCTGGAAGTGACAGCTTACATCTGCACAGAGGATGATGGGTGTTCCAAGTGTTCATCACTCTTACAAGAGTTTTGAATATTTAGGATCTCAATGTGATGTGAAATGGCTAAGAAACCGGATGACCTGCTACAGATACAGGATGGGTTAGACAGGAAGGACAGTTATGTTCTAATCTGTAAGACATAAACTGCTGTTTGAAATTTTAATACTAATAGCCAGCAGAACAGGATCTAATAGTCAGGATAGTGTGAAGTGGTCAAAGAGTACTCAAACAACCGGATTGGGCTGAAGACGATCAGTGACTGGGATAATATCTTATCTTTCTGTTCCTCTCAACATATAGCTGTAACTGTTGGAAGCCAGAATGACCTGGATCTGCTGCTGTATTACACTCCTTGCCCTTGTTTACAGAGCCAGGAGAGTTCCTGTTTGAGGAAGCCCATTACCATGCTGATTTGAAGGAAGGCAAGGTGACAGCTAGGATCATCCGGGAACATGGTTGTGATGGAAAAGTCATGCTGGAATACTCCACAATGTAAGTCTTCTAACAGTTCTTTTTTGTGTCTTACTAATTGTTGTCCAAATATGTTGCTAAATCTTTTTCCAAGTAATATATTTTACTTTGTGTGAGGAAATATCAGGATAATTGACCTCAAAACAGAAAGTGATGCATTCACATCCTTGTATTGTGGAAGATATAGATAACATAGATAACATAGATAAGAAGATAACCCTACTGGAAGGTACAGACTGCAATATGGAATTGTATGTGTATGCTGCTGGGTGAATGTTGCAGAGATGGTACCGGCACAGGGGGCAAGATTCTGGGACCAGATGTTGACTACATCACTTCAAGTGGCACTGTTGAGTTCAGCCATGCAGAGACGTCCAAAACAATATCAGTTGATGTTAACAAGGACACAAAGGTACTACTCATTTGTATTCTCTTACTATAAGAGTGACTGAAGAAAAGGTTGTATAAACAGCGGAAAAGAATTATCAAGAAAACACTTAAGGAATTAATGTCCGAAGAAAGTAAAGTGTGAAATTCTTATGAAGTCAAATTTTGTGTCCTGTCCTGATTGAAAATCTGTATACAAATAGTATCATTACAATCATATATTTTCATGTATCTTTTTATATTCAAGTACTGATTAATAGGTTAAATAATATATCAGTGGTCTTGAATAGACCTGGGGCATCAGTAAAACCATTTTCAGTTACAATCCAGAATGGTACACTTTTTTGTGTTAGTGTTTATGCATGTTCTTTGCTTATACATAGGGCAGGTTGTTTTGTTTTGAGTTCATGAAAGATCATCCTCAATAATCTCCAGGGTATACGTTCTGATAAATCTCAACTAGTACCCTGGATGCATCTACGTCTCCTCCCTATAATTGTATTACCTCCCTTTGCTGGCTTTTTATCCAATCAGGTTTCTACGCTGGGAAGTTTCACATACCAATCACAAGGCTTCTATCATAACTCACATCTGCTTCTTTTATCTAGCCGATTAAACTTGGCAACAAAATTGTTGCAGAGGCACCCTGAAAGAGGTATAAGGAGTTCTTGCATCTATTTTTTTAAGGTTTTGGACCTGTCAATTTGTATGATTTTTCCCCTAAATCTGAGTCGCACAGTGAGCAAAATTTCATGGCTGTGGTCGCCATCGTTGTTGACACTGGCAAGCTCGATTTAACGGCTTATCTGATTGGCTACTGTGAGAAGGCGGAGCCAGCAAAGGGAGGTAATGCAATTATTGGGCCAGGATGTAGATGCATCCTGGGTACTAGTGGAGATTTATCGGAACATATACCTTGGAGATTATCGAGGATGATGAAAGATTTGAAGCATCTACATTGTCACACTTATTTGTTACAAGATATTACTGATTACTTGTTTCACGTTCTTCATTTGGGATAGCGTGATGGAAATGGTGGTGTGGTTCATTTTGGTCCTAACAAACAGTCAAATGATGACCAATAATTTGTGATATCAACAATTTGTGATATAGAAATATTAAAAATGGTATTGCTGTTATAAGAGTCTTGTACTTCTTTGCTTGAGTTTTGCACTGCATGAATGAACGTAGAGCAAACTAATGTTTGACATTAATGGAGCATGGGAAGATTACAGTTTTATCAGTCGTGATGACATGTCCTTGGTTTATGTCCTGATGTTCTGAGCAAAACATATTGCAGAAAATATTGTCAGCGAAGCTATTTCAGATAAGTTTGTCATGGCTTCAATTTTTTCATTTACAGCATGCTATCAACTTCATCATTGCTCTGCGAAACCCCAGTCTTGGTGCTCGTATTGGCATGCGGAGTGCAACAGTGTGCCACATCAATAAGGGTATGTGTCTAATACACATGATGATGACAAAAGGCTGTTGGCAGGGGACTCTATTCCTGTGTGTTTGTCAGCATGTGTAATACTGAATACTTCGTACTGGCCAGGCAGTCCTGTCTCTGTACTCAAGACTGTTAACACTGTAACCCTGTTCTATTTATCATTAACATTTCTGACAAGTGCTACACATTGTCTTGTGGAGATAACTCCAGTCACAGAGTGGTTGCATTTATCTAATAAAATTAATATGTGAACTGAGGGTTTTTACAGACATTTCAAAGGTTATACGCTTTACTTTTGTTGTAAGAATTCTTTAAGTACACTGTAACCATGACATCGTCTTGAATTGACAGAATTAATTTCTTAGAAATGTTTAAGATACTGTGGAAAGCCCTCTTGATCTAAGCTTGAAGACCTTAGTTAGCATCTGTTATCAGATAGGCAGGGTGTGATTTTGCATGGTTTACAGATTTTTATGGTGAAACAATTCATGTAAAAGTTGAAAAAAGTGTATTTGGGTAGGAATTTCGTGAAGGTGATAAAAGAGGCAATTTGCCTTTGGGGAAAAACTTTTCATATAAAAATCCCTTAGATTATTTTTTTTGTCCAAACAGCATTTACATTCAGTGTCAACAAAAAATATCTCCCAAAAAACAAAGACAAATTTTCTCTGGCTTTCTCTATTTATGATTTTAGTTGGATCTATTACCGGTAACCAGAAAACAAAGAATATGACGCCTTACGCGTTTGCATATGCTGTTTCATTAGAAAACACTGATGTTGGTAATAACTGTCAGTTTGAGTTGAAAAACATATTAACAAAAGGATACAATCATAATAACAAAACTTTATAAGAACAAAATCTAGCATTTGGTATTGAAAGGCGAGGTTTCTTTTGTGGTTCAGTATACATAAACAGCTTATATTCAGTTATACATTTCGAAGATTGGTTTACCTAATCCAAAGTTTTTTTGTGAGCATACAGCATTCATCTGACCTGTATATGTGCTTTAAACTATTATTTCTATGATTTTAGAGCATCAGTACGTCAAGCAATAATGTCACTAATATTATTTCTTAAAATGTGCAATGTTTTCTTGTCAAAAAGGGTGAAGGTCATGGTCTTTTATAGTACGTCACATCTGTAGAATAGTTAATGTTCACTACAACAAGGGATTATGAGCAATTGGTGAATTTCTGTATACCTGACATCATTTTTGGCATGATATATGCAAGATGTCAGCTTTCAGCTACATTAGCACTTCTGCCTATTTGCTCTTGAAATCAGTTGGCACCTGAGACATAACAATATCCTTAAAGCCAAGTTATATAAGTCCATGTATCTCCAAGTAACCCAAAAATAGTTCATTAATTGTTGGACTAAATCAGACCTTGTTATTGTTTTTTACGTTTGTTGTCAATATACAGCGAAACTATTGAGAGTGTCAACATGTGCTAAAGTGTCATTGTCTTTCTTTCATTTCAGATGGTAAGACAGTTCTATTTCTTAGAAGTTTTTGATAGTTTCTGATTATTGTTTTGTAGTTCATAGTAACCTGTTCATAACACTTTCAAGTTTTCTTGCAGCACTATATTTATGTAACTGCTGGCGTAATAATTTTGCTTTCACATTGAAGCAAGTACCAACTTCACATGTAGGCCCTGTGTGCTGACAGCACTCTTTGTCATGAGTTGTACTGTAGTACAAGTCAGTAGTCATGATTCAGTTACAGCAACACCACTGTCTTTAGTTCTTCACCTAGCTTAAGCACAGTTTGTGTATATTGGTGTTATGTTGTGTAGAAGTATCACTATAGTATGTGGCAATGTGTTTAGTGTGTGGTTGTATGGCAGGTGCAATTTACTCTCCGTGCAGAGTTATTTAACAGGCAAGCCCTGCCCAAATTATTAAAACGCCTGTCACAACTGCATTTCTTAAGACAACAACTGTTCAGGTTGTCTACTGTCTATTCTGGTTGAAATGTTTGACAGTGATTAGAACCATCTTTGTACCTAGGTTCCAGATAGATGAATACACAATAATATGAAGTTGAAAATTCAACATGAACATCATGTCTGACATAATTAAAATAATGATAGGCATATATTAATGTAGTCTAACAAACATTTACAGACTATGCAAGAGTGAGAAAAGTGAATGTTAAGAGACACCGGAGAACTGATAGATTTGCATGCCAATGAGATATTTGACAGTGAGAGTATAACAATAACTAGAAGAGGGCATATTACAAGTTATAAAGTGTTATATATTGTTTGCTCACCTCTACTGAAGGTTCAAGTGAGCTCATGGCTTGGCAGCTTGTCCTTCATTGACTCGCAATTTGCCAATCATTCTTCGACAATCCTCCTGATAAGCCTGAAACTAGCAGACTTCAGGATTTCTTTATGGTATTAATTTTTAAACTTATCCCAACTCTCTCTCTTTAAACAAACTACAAACAAAGTTTCTGGCCTCTCTTAAACCCTTTGTCCGAACACTCTCGGTATAACAATTTGAGATCAGCACGACTTCCACTGGATCAGCGACAGTGATCCAATAATCACCGGCCCGGAGGCACAGCGTCAGTGTTTATTGTATCGGGCCGGCAGTTTCAAATATTTGGAGGCCCTTGTGGCCTTCAGTAAATCATCTGTCATTTTCTTTTCAACTTCAATCAGTGTTGTACTTGTTATAATGAGAGAATTAAACAGTGTGAAACTGAGTACAGTGTAGTCTATTATATTTTTATTGGTTTGACTTTAAGAATGTGGGCCTGTAGATTTCATTCCGGGCTTGCAGATTTTAAAGCCCATCACTCAGTTCCTGCATCGCCTAGTTATACATCAACTGTTGTATACAATCCCAGAAGGATCGTTAGATCCTCCTCCAACATCTAGGGTTCGTCACCATGCTACTTTGCCAATTGGGTTGGATCGTCAAGCTCAAGAAATCGGAACTTGTCCCAACCCAACGGCTACAATTCATTAGGGCAGTGTTCGACACTCGCCTGGGTAGGATATTTGTGACTCAGGAACGGTGATCAAGATCCCAAATCTCGTACATCTTGCGTTGATGCAGCCAAGGACATTACGTCAGTGGCAGGAGTGGCTGGTTTCCTCTCATCAGCCCAAAGCCCTCACCCTTCGAGGTCAACTCCAACTTCGACAAATACAGAGGTTCCTTTGGCCGTTCCTACAGATCGCCGATTACCGATTCTTTCATCCTTGGTGCTTCATCAGCACCTGTGATGGTGGCTCCACAAGTTGAACGTTTGCAAGGGGTTTCCTTGACGCCGTTCACTCTTCAAGATCTACAAGTGGGCTGTGGTCATCCAACGATCAGTCCCTCCAGATCAATGAACTGGAGTTCAAGGCAGTCATCCTTGCCATCACACACTGGGCTCAGACCTTACGGTCAACCAGCCTTCTCATACTATTGGACAACTCCACAGTAGTGTGCTACATCAATCACATGGGAAGTATGGATACTACTATTCAGTGGATTTCAATTTGTTCTGCTCCATGTTCCCTGACACATCAATCATCATGAGTGAGGATCACTCCGATATTGTCTGAAACTGAATGTTAAAAAGTGAGCTTCCCGGGCCGTTTTGCCTTTCACCTAAATGTGTGATCGTGAGGGATGGTTTCGTTGCAGGGGCTGGCCAGATTCTAGTCCCAAGCCTTCAATTCACTGGGTTCTTCCGATAAATCAGAGCGAAGCGAGGTCTACTTGCCGAGTTCTGTCCCTTTGTCTTGTAGGAGAAAAGACAAACGTTGCGGCTGAAACCACATTGACTCGGGTGCACCACTCCTTGGGAGTCTTTGTGCCGTGTAAGCCAAGAGGTTTGGAGGAAGTAACCCAGCACAAGTCAAGAGTTATGCAGTCAGTCAGGAGATTGTACTCATAACTGGCCTCCTTGTGCGTCATCATCACCAAGGCTGTCAGCCATCACATAGACATAGAGTAATCTGCAACCCACCATCCAACCGTGGGATAAGTACACTCTGCGAGATAGGATAAGTTATAAAAATTGAAAATTTTAACTATAAATTGTATATTTATAATACTTATCCCGTCTCGTGATGGATTCTCGCCCGACCATCCCCACTTCACAGATTACGACTAATGCTCCGAGACGAAAATGACAGCCACATGATCAACCAGAGAGCAAGCTGCATGCTTCTCAGGAGCTTTGCCAGGCTGTTCAGGAGTGGGAGCAGTAAGGAGTGTTCGGGCGAAGGGTTCAAGAGAGGCCAGAAATTTTGTTTGCAGTTCATTTCCACTCAACACTCAAATAAGAGAGAGATAGTACACTCCGTGAGATAGGATAAGTATTATTAATGTACAATTTATAGTTAAAATTTTCAAAGTTGTTAGTCCTTTTTTTTCAAAATATGTTGTGTAGCAAGTTAGTGGGATTGGAATTTGCTCATGTCAGCAAAACAACAAAGAATGATTATCAATTAACTAAGGCTACTCATAAATCCACAAGGTCCAGAGATCTGCAACTTTATGAAGATGTTTGAGATCTCAGAGTCATCTGCACTCAACTTTGGCCATTATTTGTGATGTTGAAGAAGAAATACACATGAGAAAATGCTTTTCCAAATGTAATTATCCGTCAATGTTTCATTAAACATAACATGAACATTACATTGCTATCATAGCATTCTCCTTGACCAAGAGTTGTTACATAGTTAACAGGCCATGTTGACAATACTTGTTGGAAGAATAAAGAACATAGTTAATATAAGTCAGCTGATTTTGAACATATCTGGTGAGCAACAATACCTGGGTACTATTGTTTACCCCTCAACAATCAGCCTAAAATTGATGCAAGCTACTGAATAATGGTCTGTTTGTTATGTATTCTAGAGGAGAAAGTATTATTGCTCAGAGAAATGTGTCTTTTAATACTGCTCAAACTATGCTGAAAAATGTAATATTATCCATAACAGATCAATGAAATAATGCTTTTTTGTGTGTAACTGCTTGGTTCCTTGTGGAGAGATAACGTATTCTGTAAACTGAGTGAAAGTGGATTTACTAAATATACAATGTTTTGTCTGTGTTGATGAAAATTTTCAATTTCAATTTCGTTTTCTTGTTCATCGATTTCTGTGTCAACACAGGAGGTAATACTCTTGCAAAATGAAATTATTGTTGATTGAAGATGTTACCTGCTTTTGTGGTGGACAAAGTAATGTAATCAGGGTGAATCAGCAAAACTCCCATGGCTATATTACTTGCATTAATCACTGGTCCTCTGTTGTTGATTGACTATTGGGGTCAATCGTTGTCACCCGGCATATAATGCAGGGCACAACTCAAAAACCATGAGACACATTTCATCCAAACCAGGTGCATGTATTAACCAAGGGCTGAAGTGGTGATTTTTGTAGCTTAGGAATTTCAAGAAAATGAAATTGTTTCCTATTTCCATGGTGTCAAGTTTGACTTTGACTCTGTTCATTGTGTGTTTGTCCGGACCATATTTCTAAAACTAATAGGTATTCTTTCATGAAACTGTGCGCACACAAAGACCAAGTTGTCAAATGGTGCCTTTTGCTATTAAGAATTTTAAAAAATGGTATTTTTTACTTTGGTGTGTACCTGACTTAGAAGTCCAAAGTTACGAATCCCAATTCCATGTTATTGTTTTGATAGCTCAATAACTACTCTTGTATATGAATGGACACACAAAATTTCTCTTATCAAGTTAAACCTATAATGATTATAGGGCCAACTTAAACACATTTATAAATCACCTAACTATTACTTGCCTATACTGAAGGGCCTGTTATGAACAAACATATTGTCATTTGCCAAGTGGTCATGTTGAACTATTCAATTCAGTTGGTCATTGCTCTGTGAGACACAAAACATTCATGGGTTTAAAGGCACTCAATATATTCAATGAAAATTGAAGTAAAACTCTTGACATGAAAAGGTCACAATAAACATTGTTTCAATGGAACACATATTATCTATTTTGTTTACTTTAATATGAATCATGGTAAGCACATAAAACAAGAACAAATTGATCTGGCCTAACACATTTTCAGTTACAGTATAGACTACAATTTGCTGTATTTATTTATTAATGTTCCCTGAAAATATTCTCTTAAAGACATATAATTGGATATCAGGCACATGTATGAAGTCTATGTTACTTTTGCTCCATTTTGTCTCTACTGACCTGCTTTGAATCTAGTGCATGGCGGAGTGGATGGTTGTTCTTAGAAATATTTTACTGTTATACTCACTCACTGACATTTTGTTATGACATAGTTATCAGTTGGTTCTTAGATGACATTTTAGTCATCATATATCAGTCCTTATTCAGATGACCTATGAAAAATAATTGCCTCAGTTGTCATACTGTATCAATGTGTCATTATATCTTTCTAAATATCTGGAAATATTTTCTTGATTGATACATGTTGGGTTTTCCTTATAATCAGACTCTTTCTAAGTAATAATTGGCTAAGTAATAACTATTTTTTACTGATTTTTTTATGTGGATAATGTCTCTGATAAGTTTAGGTACTGTATGATGTGTGTATTTGACAATATTAAATGTGATTCTAGATGAACTGGTGGAGAGGATAGCAGATGTCATGGAAGATGAATTTGAGGAGCCACAAACCTGGGGAGGGCAGTTTAGAAAGTAAGATGTGCAACATACATTTTTTTGCCTTGCATAACAGCTGAAAATTAAAGACTGGATTATCCCTCAGCTCCACCTTTGTATGTATCATAATATTTTAGATGTGTATTCCTGACTATGCACTTCTGTCACTGAGAAGATGTAAAACAGGACTGGTATCAGTAACAATTCAGGCATTGGACTTGGATAGTCCAGGGTAGTTAGCCAGTGTATAAATGTATATTCAAAGTTCATGGCGTCATACATATTGCTTTGTGCCGTGTGAGGTTTTCAACACATGTATGAAGAATTTCATGTATTGAAAGACATGACACCAAGTTACACACAAATTGAATCTGTTTTCAAGATGCCAACTTCAACTTTCAAGATGAGAACTTGACAGATTTCAGACAAACTGCAAAATTGAACAGACAGCATATGGTCATGTACCTGCATAACAAGAACATTTCATTAAAAGAAGTAAAGAAGTGAAAAGCAGACTTCTGGTATGGCCACTATTTGCTGAAGTTGCTTGAATCAGCACGTAAACACAATCGATCTGATCCCCAATAATTATGGCAAGCAAACATAATAATACAAAACAATCTAAAAAAGTACAGGCCCCTGGTGCTTCTTGACCGAAGATTAATACATATCTGCAATATATTAAGGAATTATATGTACAAGTGTGCTACAAGTACTTAGAACTTCTATTGGGTAGAGATTACAAAGCTGCAGGACTGTTGGATGAAAGTGAAGACTTCTAGTGTGTTGAGATTACAAAGCTGGAGGACTGCTGGACCAAGGTGAAGACTTCTATTGAGTGGAGATTACAAAGCTGGAGGACTGCTGGCCCAGGGTTAGGAGTTCTATTCTGTAGAGATTACAAAGCTGCAGGACTGTTGGATGAAAGTGAAGACTTCTAGTGTGTAGAGCTTACAAAGCTGGAGGACTGTATGACGAGGGTGAAGACTTGTATTGTGTAGAGATTACAAAGCTGGAGGACTGCTGGCCCAGGGTTAGGACTTGTATTGTGTAGAGATTACAAAGCTGGAGGACTGCTGGCCCAGGGTTAGGACTTCTATTGTGTAGAGATTACAAAGCTGGAGGACTGCTGGCCCAGGGTTAGGACTTCTATTGTGTAGAGATTACAAAGCTGGAGGACTGCTGGCCCAGGGTTAGGACTTCTATTGTGTAGAGATTACAAAGCTGGAGGACTGTTGGATGAAAGTGAAGACTTCTAGTGTGTAGAGCTTACAAAGCTGGAGGACTGTATGACGAGGGTGAAGACTTGTATTGTGTAGAGATTACAAAGCTGGAGGACTGCTGGCCCAGGGGGTTAGGTAGAGATTACTTGGAGGATTGTGTAGAGATTACAAAGCTGGAGGACTGCTGGCCCAGGGTTAGGACTTCTATTGTGTAGAGATTACAAAGCTGGAGGACTGCTGGCCCAGGGTTAGGACTTCTATTGTGTAGAGATTACAAAGCTGAGGACTGCTGGCCCAGGGTTAGGACTTCTATTGTGTAGAGATTACAAAGCTGGAGGACTGCTGGCCCAGGGTTAGGACTTCTATTGTGTAGAGATTACAAAGCTGGAGGACTGCTGGACCAGGGTTAGGACTTCTATTGTGTAGAGATTACAAAGCTGGAGGACTGCTGGCCCAGGGTGAAGACTTCTATTGTGTAGAGATTACAAAGCTGGAGGACTGCTGGCCCAGGGTTAGGACTTCTATTGTGTAGAGATTACAAAGCTGGAGGACTGCTGGCCCAGGGTTAGGACTTCTATTGTGTAGAGATTACAAAGCTGGAGGACTGCTGGCCCAGGGTTAGGACTTCTATTGTGTAGAGATTACAAAGCTGGAGGACTGCTGGTACCAGGGAGGAGGACTTCTATTGTGTAGAGATTACAAAGCTGGAGGACTGCTGGCCCAGGGTTAGGACTTCTATTGTGTAGAGATTACAAAGCTGGAGGACTGCTGGCCCAGGGTTAGGACTTCTATTGTGTAGAGATTACAAAGCTGGAGGACTGCTGGACCAGGGTTAGGACTTCTATTGTGTAGAGATTACAAAGCTGGAGGACTGCTGGACCAGGGTTAGGACTTCTATTGTGTAGAGATTACAAAGCTGGAGGACTGCTGGACCAGGGTTAGGACTTCTATTCTGTAGAGATTACAAACCTGGAGGACTGCTGGACCAAGGTGAAGACTTCTATTTTGTAGAGATTACAAAGCTGGAGGACTGTTGGATGAAAGTGAAGACTTCTAGTGTGTAGGCTTACAAAGCTGGAGGACTGTATGGCCCAGGGTGACTTCTAGAGATTACAAAGCTGGAGGACTGCTGGCCCAGGGTTAGGACTTCTATTGTGTAGAGATTACAAAGCTGGAGGACTGCTGGCCCAGGGTTAGGACTTCTATTGTGTAGAGATTACAAAGCTGGAGGACTGCTGGCCCAGGGTTAGGACTTCTATTGTGTAGAGATTACAAAGCTGGAGGACTGCTGGCCCAGGGTTAGGACTTCTATTGTGTAGAGATTACAAAGCTGGAGGACTGCTGGACCAGGGTTAGGACTTCTATTGTGTAGAGATTACAAAGCTGGAGGACTGCTGGACCAGTGTTAGGACTTCTATTTGGTAGAGATTACAAAGCTGAAGGACTGTATGACCAGGGTGAAGACATCTACTGGGCAGGGATAACAAAGTTTGATCACTGCTGGAGGAAGAGGCTCCTATTGGGCAGGGATAACTAAGTTGGATCACTGCTGGAGGTGGAGACTCCTATTGGGCAGGGATAACTAAGTTGGATCACTGCTGGAGGTGGAGACTCCTATTGGGCAGGGATAACTAAGTTGGATCACTGCTGGAGGTGGAGACTCCTATTGGGCAGGGATAACTAAGTTGGATCACTGCTGGAGGTGGAGACTCCTATTGGGCAGGGATAACTAAGTTGGATCACTGCTGGAGGTGGAGACTCCTATTGGGCAGGGATAACAAAGTTGGATCACTGCTGGAGGTGGAGACTCCTCTTGGGCAGGGATAACTAAGTTGGATCACTGCTGTAGGTGGGGACTGCTATTGGGCAGGGATAACTAAGTTGGATCACTGCTGGAGGTGAAGACATCTACTGTGCAGGGATTTGTTAGATCACTGCTGGAGGTGGAGACTCCTATTGGGCAGGGATAACTAAGTTGGATCACTGCTGGAGGTGAAGACATCTACTGTTCAGGGATAACTAAGTTGGATCACTGCTGGAGGTAGAGACTCCTATTGGGCAGGGATAACTAAGTTGGATCACTGCTGGAGGTGGAGACTCCTATTGGGCAGAGATAACTAAACTGGATCACTGCTGGAGGTGGAGACTCCTATTGGGCAGGGATCACTGCTGGAGGTGGAGACTCCTATTGGGCAGGGATAACTAAGCTGGATCACTGCTGGAGGTGGAGACTCCTATTGGGCAGGGATAACTAAGTTGGATCACTGCTGGAGGTGGAGACTCCTATTGGGCAGGGATAACTAAGTTGGATCACTGCTGGAGGTGGAGACTCCTATTGGGCAGGGATAACTAAGCTGGAGCATTGCCAACCAAAAGAATTTAAGTCAACATATTTAATGTTGAGAAAATTTGTTTGAACAAATTAGATTCTGAAACGTTTTCTGTGTCAGGCAACAAGCTTTGAGATTTACCTTTGTAGGCATACAACAGATTGGAGCTATTATCTCTTGACTAAGATTTGTATGGAATTGTTACTGAAAGTCCTGTTACTGAAACAGTATACAAGGTAGGCCTTGTTGAGTGTCTGTCACCATATACACCACATTCATTGCGAAGCATGCAGTATTTTTGGCTGGTTTTGCAGCGCCCTTCTTTGTGTGTTTGATTTGAAGTATTTATTAGAAGTAGAAAATGTCAGCCTGTCAGCTGGAATTGTAGCATGTTTGTATTTTGTTTATTTCAGTGCCATGACTGTGGGAGGAAGTACAGATGATGATGGCAATGATGTACCTCCCAAATGGTTTGATTACTTCATGCATTTCTTCACATTCTTTTGGAAGATCTTCTGTGCACTAATTCCACCAACGTAAGTGAATCATCTTTTTGCTGGATCACCTGGCATGAAGGTCTATATGATTCCTTTACCTGTCCAGCTTTTAATGAGATGCCACTTCTACTCTGATCAGTGATGATTAAAATGTACCAAGCAGCAGGTCAATCTAGTACTGTTATGTACATCATGATTACATGATTTGAAAACAATTACTGAAAGCAGTAAGGCCAGACTTTTTCTCTTTCTCACTGGTTTATAAATGTTGATGTTACTCATGAATGTATTTGACTTGTGTCATCACTTCTACAATTGGCTGTTTTCTTCAGCTATGCCTTAGGTATGTTTTACTAGTATGAGGAAGTTGTTAATGTAGTAACTTTTGTACAGTGTATAATGTACTTGTTGAATGTTAGTAAAGGGACTCATCATGTGTTTTTGTTATATATAACTTGTTTTGATCATGAATAAGTAGCTCTCTAAGCTACTTCTAGTCTGAAATGCAAAAGTTGGGAAGTTCATTTCACTTTAATGCGATTTCCTGTAGAGTTTTTTACTTTTCTATTTTCTCTATTTTTGTTTTCCAGACAATATTAAATATGAGAGCTGGCTATCGGTATAGATCGTAGTGTTTGATAATCGTTGACTGATTATCCATTGATAAATAGCAAGGAAGTAACTTTGAGCAAAAATGAAAAGAAAAACACCTGAAAGAAATCAACATATGTCCCATCACTAGTGAGTGGTGACATATGCATGCTATTATTGTTAACAAAACACTGTCCTGAACCTAATTCAGAAGATCAAAAGATTTAACTATGTATTGTCTGAGTAAATTAAAACTTTGTCACAGTAGCTTATGTACAATATTATTGATTGCACAATTTTCCTATTGATCATCATGAAATTTTTTCCATCAATGATATTTCTGATTTAAAATCTTTTTTAGCCAGCCCTATTGAATATGAATGCTGACAGTAACTTTTGTCTCCAATGACTTTATAAGCTGTTGACTACTTGTCCAGGTAAACTCTGATTTCACCTTCAATATATCAATGTGTTGTAGGTCTTATCTTGGAGCTTGGCCTGCATTTGTGATTTCCCTGGTTTTCATTGCTGGTATGACAGCTGTGGTGGAACAGGTGAGTGACAACCTCATGACATAAACCAGTTCTGGTACTACAGTCACATGACAGGGACATTGCTACTCTTGCATCAGAAAGCTTCAACTGTTTCCATGGATATCTTCCTTATTTGACCTTGAGGAATGCTTTTGGCACATTTCAAAGGTCAATGTCACAATATAGAAAAAACACTAGAGAGTTCATGTATGGTTTCTCAAAAGGTATTGGGCTTCTATCACGTAACTTGGTATGCATTCTCCAGTGTTGGTACCCTGGTTTTTAGAGGTTTGGCGCAAGATTAGTTCTTGGCCAGCCTTCATGCTTTTGTAAACATGATTATATCATTGTCAGTTTCTGTAGGCATGGAAATATATTTTCTTATGAATATGAAGAGACCAAGGCAATATCCAGCTTGAATTTTTTACAAGTTATGGAAGACTTCATGACCTTAAGTTGATCCTCAGTCTGTTGATGACGCTAACCAAATTATTCCATTTCAACACTCTCTGATCTGTTGGGCAAGCATGTCCCATCTGGTATTAGGGTTACAGTGAATAATGCCTACAACCTCTACCGAAGTCCTGAGTGCCAAATCAAAATATATTCATCTGAAAGACATTGGTATAAGGCAGGATTGGAGATTAACACACAAATTTTCAACAAGTTTAGATTTGATGCCAAAACTCTGCAGAAGTTCTTCACTGACAGTTGCAAAGACAGAATCACATCCTGTGACATGTCTTCTAACAGACTGTATGTATTCTATCATGTGTCATTTCACTCCACTTCCAATCAGTGACAAAACTTAAATATTATCACAACCTTTGAGTAACACCTTAGCATGAAAAATTCAGTGCAGAACCACCATCCATGGTGCAGGAAAAGAACTGTGAGCACAATCCTAATGCCATTTGGCTTTGGCACATCAGTCATTTTACAATAATTAGTCTTCTGGCACTTGGGTCGAGACTTCCTGATGTCTCGTATCTAATGCCAATTTCGAAAACACTGAATTGAGAGACTGTATCTCCTCACAGAGTGAGGGACAAGCAAAATAACCATAATTGACAATAAAGGAAAAATAATAAAAAGCGTATCTCTGTTAGTGTTATTTTCAGATGTAACAATTTGGCAAAAGAGATAATATTTGAGATGAAAGTTAGGTTCAATAAGTAAGTTTTTAAGAATGAAGCATACAACTTTATGGATGACAACTTTTATTGCATAGAGCGACATTTCGATTCTTAAATTGTAGATTCTTAAATTGTTATCAAGCTAAAGGTAGTTAGGCATTATTGGCCATGCTTGAAGATGACAAAATATCAATGCCAACTATGTCACAGTGGACGTAAGTCAGATCCAGGTTTTGGCCAAACCAAAGTGTTGATTTGTCTGGTACATTGACACAATGAAACAGTTTAATGATGCTATTACAGTATCCAAAGAATGAGAATTTATATTGCCTGCAACAATACCAACAAAGTCTGTGATCCTGTCAGTGATAGAGTATTGCAGTTGCTAGAACTCCAGTGTAAAGCCTGCATCCAAAGTACCCTATATGGTGACAAATATTAATACCTAGTGAACGGTTGAAATACATCACAAAGACATGTGAAGGGTCAGTTGTCTTTTGTTTAAGCTATAGTTCTGGAAGTGGACAAAAACATGAAATCACATTTTCCCTCATTAAAATTGTCAGATCAAACTGTTCCACAAATTGTAAATGCATGTTCGATCCCAGGAGTCAGCTACATAAAAAGCATGTGCATCAAGAGGACAGCTGTGTTTGGAAATGATGCTACAGCTGAATGCACAAGAAAGAGAGCATGGTCTTAGGCTTCTCGAGGCAGGAACTTCGCAGACAGCTGTTGCCAAATGCTTCCATGTCAACCATAAGCCATCACTTTAGTTGCAATCAGCAAACAGAAAGCATCATTGGATAGACTTCGACCTGGACAACTTCCAGTTCCAAAAGACGGACAGATTTGACTGGCACACTTCTGAGATTTGTTCAGATTGTCATCACCAACAGCAGCAACTAGTTAGTAGATATGGGAGACATATTCACACCATTACAGTCATTCAGCAGCTGATACAAGCTGGAATACGCTACCGATGTCCTTTCTGGATCCAGTGTTGCAACCTAGACAACGTCAAGCCTGCTGTCACTTTGCCCAATAGTATGGATGACAACCAAGGCTTTTCTTCTGTAGAATTGTGTTTTCTGGATTGCATTTCAATTGTGAATCGTTAGGGAATGTGAGAACTGACCACACCAGGAACATTACACCAATACAAGTGTCAGACAGCAAGATTTGGCAGTGGCAGGGTCGTGGTTTGGAGAGCAATAAACACTCATTTCAGGAGTGACCTTCATGTAATCCAATGGTAATCTCACAGCACAGTGCAATGTGGATGAAATTCTAAAGTCTAAAGCCATTTCATTGTTGTGATATCACCAACGACCCTAAAGTAAGTTGATCTTCCAGCATGATAATGCAGCAAGAGTGACATATGTATTCACGCAACAGTCTGGTGTCACTGTGATGAACAGGTTAGCCTAATCACCAGATTTAAAACCCCATTGAACATTGGTGGGGTGAACTGGGAGATGGGTTTACAGACATCAGCCACCACCAGCCAATGTTGCAGATTCGACCTTGGCCTTGCAGCAAGAGTTGAGGAACATCCCAATCTCTGTGACTCTCTGCCCCAGTGTATCCATGCTTGTGCCAGGGCTGATCAGAGGTCACACAAGATATTGTGTTATTCCATGGGTTCACTCATTTGTGACTTTCTGTACTAAGTCTGTTTAACAACATTACATGTTTTAGGTCTGAAAATGGTTGCATATTCACCATGTCATTTAAAATAATTACATTTGGCCTAGAGCTCTTGTCCACTTGTCTTTTTTCCACCCTAAAATTGGTAACTTGTTTTCAGCTGGGCCATCTGCTGGGATGTGTTGTTGGGTTAGAGACAAGTGTGACTGGCATCACAATTATAGCACTTGGGACCAGTGTGCCAGACACATTTGCCAGTCGAACAGCAGCTAAGCAAGATGAGCATGCAGATGCCGCCATAGGCAATGTTACGGGTATGCAACCAAAAATAGTCAACATTACTCCTCTGTCTGTTGCTAATCTGAATGTTGTGCATGTACAGTCATGCACTTGTAATACATTATCTGTTATATATATCATAAAGAGATGTAATTGAACTGAATGTTCTACCAGTTAATGGATTGATTCAATGTTTTATGTATGTTTCTAGATATGAACTGTGATTTGGACTTAATGAACTTGTTATATTATGTGTTCAGGCAGTAACAGTGTCAACGTGTTCTTGGGTCTTGGGCTGCCATGGGTACTCAGCACTATGTATGCACTGTACCATAAGAAATCATATCATGTGAAGAGCACCAACCTTACTCAGAGTGTCATTATCTTTGGCGTATGTGGCACACTTTGTATACTACTGCTTCTACTCCCGGAGAAAGGTAAGTTGCTTAGTGTCAATGTAAAGACTCTTTCAGTTATCATCAGTAGCCCTAGTTATCATGGACAAGTAGAGATTGCATGTGTAATATCTGCTGTGCTATCATGCAAGTATTGACATGTTAAATGTAGCCACACTACTACAATTAATATTGGAATATTGCTGAGTGCAGCGTTAAACAACACAAACTAAGGCAACAATCAAAAGCAGTCTCTACCCAAATAAGAGTGAGTGAGTGAGTGAGTTTGGTTTTACGCCGCTTTTAGCAATATTCCAGCAACATCACGGCGGGGGACACCAGAAATGGGCTTCACACATTGTACCCAAGTGGGGAATCGAACCCGGGTCTTTGGCATGACGAGCCAACGCTTTACCCACTAGGCTACCCCACTGCCCCCCCAAATAAGAGCATATTGTACAATATGGTTTCCAGTGTAAAGCATTTGTTTAATTAGCCATCAAAGAGATATAATGCCAAATGTTTGTGATAAGTCAATGTAACCAGCCTCACCTTTTGCTTCCACCACATTCTCACGCAAGACAATTGTTCACCTCAAAAATCATATGGACAAATAATGCAAGTCAAAATAGTGAATTGCATTAGACATTTTTCACTCTGAATCATAGAATTTTGAAATGTTCTCTTCATGTTTACCATATCAATTTTTGAAAGCTTTATTGGGGACATTAATTTTGTAACCCTGATCAAACAACTTTTGATCAAATGAGAATTGATAACGCCATCAATTGAGGATTTCCCCACACAAACAAGTCAAATGATGGAACAGTTCCATCCTTTTTTTAGTTATCTTGCCAGTTATCAGAAGCCCCACAGTGCAACTCGGGAAGACCATGTCTGTTTCTGTGAAAACATCCTATATTATGTTAGTAAGCAATAACCAAACAGTTACCACTGTGAAGATAAGCAGCTGTTGTGGGTGATGATAGATGACAATTGTCTATGACTAACATAACTGCTTTGTTGAGCCAAGTATTTTGTATATATTAGTCAGCCTATTTCAAACAAACATCTGTATGATTTAGCGCATTGTGAAGTTTTCCAAATGTTTTTTTGCCGTTATACATTTACAGTTGTTCGGTGGAGAATTGGGTGGCCGCAATTCTACTGTGAAGTGGATGACAAGTACTTTTCTGTTTGCCCTCTGGATCCTTTACATTATACTGTCCAGCCTGCAGGCATATGGTAAAATCGATCTTAAGTTCTAGGCTGTTGGATGAAGAACTACATGCTGGGGCTGCCTAGCACACAAGATACACACTCCATCTGTAACAAATGGAATACGTTGTAGAAGATTGCTGTTGTCCAAGATGTTTTGAGTGCATTGCCACTGAACGGATTAGCATCAACCATAGAACCTTAGCATTGAAGTGTGTCTTACATGTAGAGGAGGATAGACATTCCATAACTGACATATTCCTCTCTGATGGCTGATGTAATTGGCAGAGCTGTGAGTGGAGTATGTGTGATAAGCTAATTTATTCTTACCTTGCATGGCAACAGACACACCCAGGAGGATTGTATTTTTATCAGAAGCTATCCGTTGTTCTTGATATTGGCTAGGACAGATTTGAGGTGAAGGCATGTCATGCTGAAGATACTACAAAATAGTCACCATCCCTGTGTGTAAACAATGTGGGTATGTAATCCATAGATAGGTGTACTGTAGATACACCAACACAAGGGTGTGCCAGTCAGTCTTGCTACAGGTTGGTAACTATTCATCGGTCTTGCCATTTTACAGTATTTGATTACTGTTGACATTTGTTGTAGTTATTGTCAGTTGTACTTTGTTTTGAACGGTGTTACTTGTTTCAATGAGATGATAAAATTTAGTGATTTAAACCTACCGATATAAAGATGACACCAGCTTGGTATAAATGGACCAGAGAGTATTTTGTCATGTATATAGGCATTGCCCTCTCCTGTCATCATGATCATGTTGAAAGTATTCATTAATTGACTGTACATTCATACTAGGTATGCAGGCATTAATATTGGATATATACAACAGAACTAAGTTAAACTTGCTGACTTATGTGTACATATATGTATAAATATTTATTTTCTATTCCTATTTTGCCAAAGACATACTACGTATGAATTATGAATATAGAATTGTTAATTCATTTATCATTGTTTCCATGATCTCATAAATGTGGCATGCTGTATTTGTAAACATTAACATTTGAAGTGTCTGGTATTTTTTAGTGAAACTCTAAACAAATCAAGAACCTATACAAGTTGGGGTTTGTTGTTTTTTCAGTGATAAGCACTACCAGTTTTACAGTGTAAACAGAGTACATGTTTTTTTCTCAAGTAAAATTGAGTAGCTTGGAAGATGTGAGCAAGCAGATGTTTTTATTTATGCTTGTATTCATACCTCATTTCCCCATCAACTTGTATTTTGGAGGAATGAACGTTTCATACCAATCAACACAGCATCCAATATGATTTTTGGACTCATAATGTCATGACAAACCCTGTTGTTTTTTTATGTAATCCATCCTGTCCCCATACTTGGCAATCATCCCTGAAATCGTCTCCCAGGTTGCCACTCATCCCCATGCCCCAGGTACAGACAAGGTGTCTGGCATGGTCCAGCAGACCGTTGCCTCAGTCCAAGCATTACCTATCTGTGATAACTACATTGCCTGTTGATTGTATACACCTATTATTTCCAAGGTTGTGTTCAGGTTTGTGTACCTACAGCTACTGATTTCATTTCTCAGTAGTAGAGCATGTATAGCTGTTATCTACCGCAGTTTTATCTATGATTTCAAACTACGTGTGTGGCCGTGAATTTGGGTAAAAATTTGGATTGTTTGTAAAGCTATTACTTCCTTTTCTTCAGAGGGTTTTTAACACTGCATTCAGTGGAACAAAGTGAAAGTAAGCATTTAAGTATCTTTCAGTGTCATAGAAGTCATGCTTGAACATTCTAAAAATTGGGAATTCCTATGTTTCTGTTTTGACTGAAGTCTGATGTAGACAAAAGGCCAGAAATTGTAAGATGGATGTAACAACTAATATAATCATCTGCAGTAGATAAGTTCCTGTACTGTCAGCAAGCGTCTGTAGCTACAAGATATGAGGAAAGTACATTTTGAGCATTAGTGCTTCATTTTATTATTTTAGTAAGATTTGATTTGATTTCTCTGTGTTAATGTTAGCCAGTATTTGCATGCTTGTGAATCACTGCAATGTATTTATTCTGTTTGAAATACTCAAGTTTGCATAGATAGCTCAGTTTATTCTTTTTTGTTTTGTACAGCATGTCATTATCATATTTGTTACTGCTCACAAGAGTATGTGAGTATTCAGTTGTTGCTGCATAGTAGGATTGTGTTGTGTATACTTTGATGGGTGTGAATACTGAACTCATTAAGTCTGCACAACATGTTTTGATATTCCTTATTGTTGGTGAATAGTTGAACACCTTTTGACCTAATTCAGTCTCATAGTTAGGTAATATTTGTTTTGATCTTGTTAAGGCAATTATCCTTGGAAATGCCATCAAAGTAAAAGTTCAGTGCCTTTTAGTATGTTTTTTATTCCTTTTTTTCACATAGAGCTCTTTATGCATTGATGACTTAGTTACAGACTTAGGCCAGTCCTTGTGTGTTACTTGGGTCAGAAAGACATGTAGATGGAAGACAACATCAAACAGTGTTTTGCAAAAGGCACCAGACCAAAAGGGAATACACACTGTTCTGTTTCTCATGCAGAAACTAGCAAAGCAATAATGGGATCCAGTTAATAGACAAGTTGGCCTTAAAGAGACTAGATATGTTTCTCCCTTTAAAGATACATGCTTTTTCTCATCCTGTTCCGTTTTTTTTAACATACTCAGCAAATATTTTAGGTTGCCAGTCGATTAAAAAAAAATGAAAACATAAATAAATAAATACTTGGTTCATATGAAATGTCTGTAATAGAGGACTTACTACATGTTGGATTGATTTTTTTGCATTGTGTGCACCTCACCTGAAGGAGAAGATCCTCCTCGTCCTCCTCTCTACAGTGTTAATCTGGAGACAGTTGGCCAGACTGACACCATGTGCCATCCAGTGTACATATTGTTGAATGTTATCATTTTCATTGACAGATTAGCATCTGTACAAAATGTGTGCTATTTTCTTACTGTTAGATGGTCTTCTATCATTCCTAGCTCGAAGTTGGTCTGACAAGTAGAGAAGACAACTTGCCTTTCACTGAGCAATAAGATGTGAAGACTGTTTGTTTCCTTAAAAGATACACTGTTTTTACTATTTTCAAGAGATTGCTCAACCTTTGAATAACTATTTAATGAATGTAAAATTGCAGATGCACTCTGACTCTGCTCATCTGGATTCCATTAATCAAGATATTTTTTTCGTTGACTTTGATCATGGCTGTATGTCTTTAACAATACCAGACCATTGAAGTTTCCCAGTTTCTGATACATGTAAAAGTAAAGCAATATAACATGACCACAATAGAAGCTGTAAAAGAATATTTTTGTTCTGATTCAGACATTTATACTTTATCCAGATGAGCTACCTGATGATTTCAGTTTACTTTTGCAGCTCCTTCATGGGGTCTGTTTTTCTCTATCTCAAAACTTGACAACCCAGAGATGAAATTTGTACGTGATGTTACTCAAAAGGTTGAGCAAAATTATCCATGAATGTTTGGTCAAACAAGAACGGCACCAGCCATCACACCATCTCCTACATTTGTCCAGTCATCCCAACGTACATCTTCATTTCAACCGTGGGACATTCAGCAGGTGGAAAAATAATTTGATATCAGTGTTAAACATGATGTCTTTCCAAAAACCATAACATCTGAAGAAAGCTAATCAAATAATTGCAGTGATGGTAGACTGGCTAAGTGAATGACCAACCAGTCATGGACTTGAAAGGACTTGCAGTTTATCTGCCTTTATGGCAGAATCTCTGTTCTCATGTTAATTACAGTTGTGCCACACATTCTCAAATGGGAAATAAAGTTTGAAGTTTTATCAACCATTGTGTTGTTGAAATATTTTAGTAAAGCCTGAAATGACATTGTTATAATGTTTGAAGCTGGATCAAGAGTAATCCTGGGACATCTCTGTAATATCATATCAAGAGTTTCAAAACATTATATGGAAGCATGATGTTTAGGTCGTGTTCTAGATTTGATAAAGCTTTACTTCATCAGACAAAGGTTCTAAAGTATATTTGTTCCGGAAAATGTATTTCAGGGTATTGTGTGTAGAGGACTCAGCACAAGTAATGTCTGATGAGAAGTAATGGAACTTATTACAATGCTGCTTGAAAGACCCCGATTTTATGGATACCAAGGCAAGTGTTATGCCCTCTTACACTGCAGTTGCTACTTATCATGGCAACTTTCACACTTTTCACACTCAACCCATGAAGATGCGGCGACTATGCTTGTCTTAAGAGGCGACTAACGGGATCGGGTGGTCAGGCTCACTGACTTGGTTGACACATGTCATCGGTTCCCAATTGCACAGATCGATGTTCATGCTGTTGATCACTGGATTGTCTGGTCCAGACTCTATTATTTACAGACGCCGCCATATAGCTGGAATATTGCTGAGTGCGGCGTAAAACTAAACTCACTCACTCACTCACTTTGTACTCACATCTGTACTGGACACCTGCATATACACACGAGCATTAATCAAGCATCATCCACTATTTTATTATATGCTTTGAAAACAAATCTGCATATAAATGGGACCTGTAACATATTTTACGCCATCAAAACAAGAACAAAGCTGAAGCTGACATTTGGTAACAATGCCGCCAGTCTGATTGTCGTGATTGTATGAACCATGACTGACTGGCCACATCAGTACCTGGTGTAGTCACCCCTTGCTCCTATAATGTCTGCCAGTCTCCTCATACTGCCAAAAAAACTATGAATATTCAGCATCAGAATCCTCACCCAATCCTCATGGAGTGTCTGCGTCAATTCCTGCAGATTTTGAACAAAAACATCTTTAGGTCGAACTTAGAATCCAAGATAGATAGTCCTAAAGATGTTCGAAGAGGTCCATAATTAATGTTTCGATGGCATTCTGCAAATGGGTGATTGCTAGAGAAGAAGGGGTGTAACATTGTCATCTGTGAATATCGGGACGACTTGAGTGTCCCATGTTCTGTAATGAGATCCAACTTGCAGTCGTACAAACGACTATCAGTGGGGAAGGGACGTCTTATCTGTCAGCGTTCCTGCCCAGCAGCCCACAGCCTCCTCCTGATGGTACTTGTATAGAGAGTCGGACTTCCACTCTTCATTGCCGGCCAGGCTTGTATAAATCAAACATCCAATATCAACTTGGTTCAGTTTCCTCAGCGCTTACTTCTCTCTGTGTTGTGCATCAGTTCCCTCAAAGTTCACCTCTCCCTGTGTTGTGCATCAGTTCCCTCAACGTTCACCTCTCCCTGTGTTGTGCATCAGTTGCCTCAGTGTTGTGCATCAGTTCATTTGGCTTTAACTTCTCAGTGTTGTGCATCAGTTGCCTCAGTGTTGTGCATCAGTTGCCTCAGTGTTGTGCATCAGTTCATTTGGCTTTAACTTCTCAGTGTTGTGCATCAGTTCCCTCAGGGGTTCACTTCTCTTGGTGTTGTGCATCAGTTCATCAGTATTTTCTTCTCTCATTGTACATCAAGCATGTATTTCCCCCACAGTCATGTGTCTGTTCCCAGGTATTTAGTTCCCTCGGTGTGGTGTGTCTGTTACCAAGCATGTATTTCCGTTGGTGTGGTATGTTTGTTCCTACAGTCTGTATGCATTTAGTTCCCTCGGTGTAGTGTGTCTGATGCCTGGCATGTATTTCCCTTGGTGCCATGTGCCTGTTTTCAAGCATGTATTTCCCTTGATGACATGTGTCTATTATCAAGCAGGTATTTCCCTCGGTGTCATGTGTCCGCTCTGAGGCGTGTATTTCCCTTGGTGCCACGTGTTATCAAGCATGTAATTCCCTCACTGTGGTATGTTTGTTACTGTGCATTTGGTTCCCTCTGTGTGGTGTGTCTTGTTCGCTGGCATGTATTTTCCTTGGTGTGTCTGTTATCAAGCATGTATTTCCATCGGTGCCATGTGTCTGTTATCATGCATGCATTTTCCATGGTGCCATGTGTCAGTTATCAAGCATGTATTTCCCTTGGTGCCATGTGTCTGTTAGCTGGCATGTTTGTCCCTTGGTGTGTTGTGTCTGTTATCAAGTATGTATTTCCCTTGGTGCCATGTGTCCGTTATCAAGCATGGATTTTCATCAGTGCCATGTGTCTGTTATCAAGTATGTATTTCCCTTGGTGCCATGTGTCCGTTATCAAGCATGGATTTTCATCAGTGCCATGTGTCTGTTGTCAATCATGTATTTCCCTCGGTGTCATGTGTCTGTTAGCTGGCATGTATTTCCCATGGTGTGGTGTGTCTGTTATGAAGCATGTATTTCCCTCAGTGTCATGTCTCTCTTATCAAGCATGGGTTTTCCTCAGTGCCATGTATCTGTTGTCAAACATGTATTTCCCTCGGTATCATGTGTCTGTTCGCTGGCATGTATTTCACTGGGTGTCATGTGTCTGTTAGCTGGTATGTATCTCCCTTGGTGTGTCTGTTATCAAACATGCATTTCCTTCGGTGTCACGTGTCAGGTATGTATTTCCCCCAGTGCCACGTGTCTGCTATCAAGCATGTATTTCCATCACTGTGGTATGTTTGTACCTATGCATTTAGTTCCCTGAGTGGTGTGTCTGATACCAAACGTGTATTTCCCCCCAGTCCCCCGGTGTCATTTGTCTATTAGCTGGTATGTATCTCCCTTGGTGTGTCTGTTGTCAAGCATGTATTTCCCTCAGTACCATGTGTCTGTACTCAAGCATGTATTTCCCTTGGTGTCATGTGTCTGTTCGCTGGCATGTATTCCCTTGGTGTGTCTGTTATCGTGCAGACCGCCTCCGTGGTGTAGTGGTTAGAGTGTCAGCCCGGAGAGCGGAAGGTCGCGGGTTCGATCCCCGACCGCGTCAAACCAAAAGACGTTAAAATATGGTACTTGTTGGTCCCTGCCTGGCGCTCGCCATTAATGGGTACAACAAGGACTGGTCGGCTCGGAGTCAGTATAATGTGTCTGAGTGGGGTATTCATGCTTCACTGCGGCATGGTATCTCAGTGGGCTAGCACTATAAAACCAGACAATGATGGAACTGTTGACAAGTGCTATCTGCACTGGTACTATGTATTACGAGTTACATTTAAACTCTTGCATGGTGATGGGGAATTCTTTAGATGGATGGCTTCCACATCATGATACCAAGTGATACATTATTACACAAATCTTTAACGACAAATTAACGAATGCATTTCCGTAAAACACGTATGATATCCTGCCTTGTGAACACCATCACCCTTTCACCATTGTAACATAAAGTGTACACAAGACCATCCCTGACATGTGACGTCATCTGGTCGGCAGACCAACCCGTGTCAATCATCTAGCTAAATTCTTTATCATTGAGTGAGTGAGTTTAGTTTTACGCCGCACTCAGCAATATTCCAGCTATATAGTGGCGGTCTGTAAATAATCGAGTCTGGACCAGACTCCAGTGATCAACAGCATGAGCATCGATCTGCGCAATTGGGAACCGATGACATGTGTCAACCCAGTCAGCGGGCCTGACCACCCGATCCCGTTAGTGGCCTCTTACGACAAGCATGGGTTACTGAAGATCAATATTTTAACCCGGACCTTCACGGGTAAAGTCTTTATATAAATGATGATATGATTTGTTTGTTTGGTCAATATCTAGTCAGCAACATTCCAGCTATATGACGATGGTCTGTAAATAATAGAGTCTGAACTAGACAATTCGATGGTCGATACTGAGAGCAATGACAATCACACAAGTTACCAGAGCTGAACAGCAGGTCCATTCAGCAGCCACAGACGAGCGGGTAGGGGAGTATGGCGATATGACTTCATAAAATGCCAGCGCTTCCATTTGTTTTGATAACCACTGGATGACCTTGGTGAACCCGAGATAATTAAAAAAATGTATGTTCAGCACAGTTTTTACTTCAGGCCAGCTAAATCATTTTTATGTCATCAACACAGTGCTACCAGCAAGCTGCAAGATCTACATAAAATTCTCAATTACTGCAAGTTCTGGAAACGAACAGATATACCAAACTCATTTCTGGCGACAAACAAATCATTATGAAACTTTAGTTCGTCTTTGCTATGTTTCTAATAATTGCAACACAAATAAATTTTGCACAGTCACATGAAATCGACAGAACAACAAACGATCATTATTTTGTTGTCATTTGTCGCTATTTTTACGAGGGGTGACCACTTGCTGGTAGAACAGCCAGGTAATCAACAAGTGAAAGTTAAATTTCACACGTGCAACTCGCACACCTGGCTATTCCACCAGCAAGTGCCCCCCCTCCCCCCCCTCGTAAAACTAGCGAAAAGTGGCAACAAAATAATGATCGTTTGTTAAACAACCTTTTTATTCGGGTGTCCAAAATGATGAGATAAATCATCAGAATTGGTCTGTCGATTTCATGTGACTGTGCAAATTTTGGTTTTATTGCAATCATTAGATTTGTGTTAGTGAGCAATTCATCGGTCTCAAATGAAATCAAACGGACTATAGTTAAAGTTATTAGTTCACGCATGAATAAAGCATTCTAATGGACATAACGAACAAGGTATTGGTAGTATTTATGTCTATACTTGTTGACATGTTGGTTTTTCCATTGTTGATATATATACCTTAGATTTAATAATGGAAGTTGATGAGTTCTATACGCTTAATTGAACCTGAAGTTTCTTATCACTTTACGTCACATGGGTTCGAATCACTGTTTGGACAATAATTGTTTTTAAATAAAAATCTAGATTTTTGCAACTGTATATTATTTTTATATGTTATGAGTAACTTATATTTCAAATTTGAACGAAATCGGTGGAGAAATGGATTTTTTAGAAAATTCTCCCGCT